CAATGCCACATAATACTCAAGTTAACCTGTGGATCAGGAAAATTAGGGCCAAAATTTTTCTCCATGTCTCTGTCCCTCAATACAGAATTTTTGTAACTCCATGCCAATGGGGTTTAACACGTAATTGAAATGGGAGACTATCTGTAAAATAGTAGCTTACCTTTGTCTTAGTTTTTATGTTTAGTCAAGTGACTGTAACTGGATATTAATGTGTTGTCATGGTTAATGATTTATGAATTAACTACCAATGCAGTAGAAACCCGTAGCTCCATTTCTGAGAATTATTTGTATCAACATACAAATAGTCTTTAATATCACCTAGAGTACAAAATCAGTTTTCTCTTGAGCCTCATACTTTTCTCTACCTTTTGTTTCATTTCTTGAACTCTGTCCTGAAAAGAGCTCCCTATACTTGCTGTCTAGACCCACTGTCTCACTCACTTTTCATTCTTAACACACTCAAGATGGGCTCCGGTCCCCTCCATGTAACTGGGATGGCTCTCTGAAGACCTGTATTTTGCCGAAATTCATTCACTGTCCTCATCCTATTCCTTGTTTTAGTTGCGTCTATGCAGTCAACCTTGTACTTCTCTTGAGCCTTTTTCTACCTCTGCCTGGTTTTGTCTTTTCTGGGTGGCTCAGTCACAGTGAGTGTTCTGTGCTTTTCCCTTCTTTTTTTCTCTGACCTTTCCCTGCAGCAGGGCTCAGCATTTGCTCCCTCCCCTTTTCTCACTCCGCCCTCCATCCCCTGGTGATCACATTCAATCTCCTGGGCCATCTGACCTCTCCCTTTGAGTCTAATAGTTATCTCAGACTTCCTGTGTCCAAAATAAACTTCTGATCCCGCCCCTGCACAATTTGTCATAACCGCTGTTTTCTCTACCTGAGAATGAGACCCACCCTCCACATAGCTCAGTCTAGAAACCTTGCCGTGCATTCTTTACTCCTGGCTCTCAGATACCATTCTCTGGGTCCCGCCTTCACCCTGTGCAGCCTTTTCTCACCGCTTCGATTACTGACTGCCTAGGGTGAGCTGATGTTGTCTCTCCCACAAGTAGTCTTGCTTCCTTCCTTGCCCACCGGCAGTCTGTTCTGAGGGGTTGTGAGTCTCAATCGTAGTAAGAGCTAAATCCTTCCAAAGGCCTCTGAGCTCCTAGATGATCTGTGCCTTTCCTCCACCCATGATCTCCCCACTCCTATTTCCTCTTCCTTCCCCCTCTCTGTCTGCCCTAGTCCCACTGGTCTTCTTGATGTTCATAGAAGCATACCGTCCTTGGGACTTTCGCACTGGATGTCACTCTGCTGGGAAGGCTTCTGTTCCTGTGCCCACATTCTCAGCTCCCCCTTCCTTCAAGATTTTACATAATGCCAGCTTCTCAGTGAACATTGCAATCGGCAATGCATTCTTCACCTCTCCTCTGAAACTCCCAGCCCTCTTTCCCTGTTGCATTTTGTTTTTAGTTGTGCTTATCATCTTCTAGCCTGATGAAACTGACTAGTGTTTATTGTTGGCTTCTCACCTCACTAAAATGTAACCTCCCAGAAGCAGAAATCGGTTTCATTCACTGATGTTTCCCAAGATGCCTAGAACAGGGCATGGTTTAGAGAGCCCTGGATGTGTGATTGTTGGGTAGAGCAATAAAGGTGGAGTAAGTCTGGACTGTGCTATCCAAAATAGCTTTAAAGTGTTGTGTTTCAGCTCACCTTCCCCTATACCCTGTACATTTCTTTATCACAAAATTGTAATTTTCCTTTACAGAAAATAGTTTTTGTTTTGTTTTTTGTTTTTTTGGGTTTTTTTGTTTGTTTGTTTGTTTGGTTTTTCCTTGCAAGCTTCTCCAAAGCAGATCAATGAGATCTGTGTTTCTTTTGATGTTTCTAAGAAAGACGCCACGTACTACTGGATGGCCTGACCAGAGTGTGTTCTCATGCACGTACTACAACTGATACAAAAACTGTACCTACTTCATTTTAGGTTTGCATTACAGAAAGGTGGCATAATTACATATTAGGGCATGCTGTCTAGGAGTAAATTTTTTTGAAGATTTTATTTATTTATTTACACAAGCAGGAGAGGGGCAGCAGGAGAAGCTGACTGTTGCAGAGCAGGGAGCCCAACTTGGTGCTCAATCTCAGAACCTGGGGATCATGACCTGAGTAGAAGGCAGATGCTTAACCACCTGAGCCACCCAAGTCCCCCTAGGAGTACACTTTTTTTTTTTTTTTTTTTTTTTTTTAGGAGTACACTTTTGATCCTCAAAATGTATTCAGTAAATTTCCAGGACCCATGACTTTAAGATCCTTCCTTTACCTCCCCCTTTCCTAGGGACAACCTAGGATGGAAGAGAGCACTGTTTTCATAAGTCTTTTTTTCTGCAAGAGAGACTCTTAGCAGAGAAGTTTCCTCTCTGACAGTTTCCTCTCTGACACTCTTTGAAAGAGTTCAAGCACATTTAAGCCTGGTTACACACCTCGTCTGGGTGTATGGGGAGAGGAAACATACTATGGTCGCAGACATTTGTATTAATATACATGTTGGAAAGCTATAGGAAAGTGATCACACTGGGAAGGGAATCTTCTCCCTTACTTGATCACTCTGGTAACACCCCATTCTTCTGTTCATTTCCTTCTTAGCCCTTACCAAATTACTAATTATCTGGCTGTTATATTTATTATATAATTATTACATATGCACATAGCTGGTCATATATTTATATACAAACATTACATATGCTTATAATAATATAATTGTTAGATATAAGAATATTATATTGTTTTTACCTGTGTCCTACTAGACCATGAATTCTGTGAGGGCAAGGGCTGTATCTCAAGCATTTAGTGCAGAGTCTGGAATAGATGCTTCTCTTTACATGTTTGAATAAACAGGTAAAAAGTTATAATGACAGAAGGCAGAGTGGCTGGGTGGCTCAGTTGGTTAAGCATCTGCCTTCATATTAGGTTGTGACCTCAGGGTCCTGGGATCAAGCCCCAAGTTGGGCTCCCTGCTCAGCAGAGAGTCTGCTTCTCTCCCTCCCTGTGCCCCTGCCCCTGCTCATGCTCTCTCTTGCATTCTCTCTCAAATAAATACATAAAGATCTTTAAAAAAAATAAAATAAACTGAAAGAAAGCAAAAGAAGCAAACTACCTATTATGGCCAATGCTGTGCCACAATAAAATTAATTTCTGTGCCTTTGTGTGTGCCATGAAGCTTTATCTGAGATTTTTGTCCTGCAACCACAATGGAAAAGATCATCTGACTGCAAGTTTGAATCTGGCCTTAAATTCTGAGTCTTTCCCAGATAAGTCTTCAAGTCACAGTTTCTTTATTCGTTAGGTGAGAGCATAGACTAGGAATTCTCTAAATTACTCCCACTGTTTTAGTGTTTAGGATATTTTTCTTATATATTATTATCAAATTTGTTAGTAATTTTGTTGACAATTTACTGCATTTCAAACCACTCTCATTTTATTTCCTACTATGTGCTTGACTTTACTGAGCTATGTAGCTTCAGACATGTGATTTGAAGGTACAGTTTCCTATACAGATAAAATATTTCATATTCTAATGGTGAGCTTACGTTTATAACGTGTTTTTTTTTGATATCACATCGTTATTTTTTAATTTAGCCTAGAAAACTTACATAGTAACCAGTGTTAGTCTGAATTTTTAATCTCTTAGTGCCCACATTACTTCCCTGCTAGTAAAAACTGTAAGGATCTGCTTATAGTTTTCAAATAAAAAGAGAACACAGAGATCATTCCATCCATATTCCTTGTTTTACTGAGAATGGTAGAAAGACATGACCTGCCCGGAATCACATCAGTTATAACTAAATTAAACACAACTAAAACACATGTAGCTGGTTGCTCTCAGTCTTTTGCTTCTGAAACTACAATCCAGTTCAATTCTATGAGATGGCTGTTTATGGTGCACAAGATAGACATGGGTATTATTGTCATGGAATTTACCATCCACTGAGATAAAGATAAGAAAATCATTCATAATTATAATGAGGGTTACAATGTGCTGCATAACCAAGGAAATTGGACCTAGATGAAGGCTCACGATAAGAATGGTGACGATTTCATAGAAGTTGAAAATCCAAAGGAGTAAATGTGGCGATGAGGGAAGAAGAACATTCTAGGCACACCAGCAGCCCATACAAAGACCTAGAATGAGTAGACGGTATGTGACAGGACCTGAGAGAAGGCAAGAAGAAGCCCAAGGGGCAAGGGGAAGAGAGCTTAAGATAATAAGCTAGGTGCAGATCAGACTTTGGGCAGCCATCTAGACCATGACAAGGATTAGGTGGATTTTGATCGTAAGGTTCAAAGTAGTAGAGTGGTCATTCTTGGAAGTTATGCAGATGCCTTGAGTATCAGTTTATTTCCAGTGACATAAAAGCAGAGTCCACACCAGTCTTCAGGCTGATCCTGACCCAGATGCTCAGCAGTGATTCACAGGAGGCATGGAAGGTACAGTTGGTTCTGCTTGTTGTCCTGCCCTTCTGGGTCAGCACTGCCATGCCATTGCTGTCCAACCTGTTCATAGACTCAGGTTTGGGCTGGCTTTCTGACAGTGTTTGGAATAGTCCCCTCTTGATCTGGCAGCTACCCACTTCTGCCACTTGGCCTCACTTGAAATGTTGTATTCCTACCTCAATATCCGAGGATGCCAATTGGATTTCTCTGTCAGACTCTCAACTCCTAGCAGCCTGTGGATTTGAGTCTTAGTAATGGTACTGTTCACTTAAAATTATGTCTTTCAGCATCTAACTTGTAATCAGAGTTTCAAAAGAATCCTATGCATTTGCTGCCTTTATTGCTTTTCTTTACTTAGAATGTGTGGGTTTTAAAAGAATGACTTAATTTCCAACAACTTATCATTTATTTCACTTGTGCCAATTGACATAATTTAATTTTTTAATATTTCGTTATGGGTGGTGGAAGTGATGAACGCTGTGTGTTCAACTGCTCTTTGTTTCTCCTTTAATTTACAGTTTTCACGCGTACTGAAGAATAGAGCCTGGCCCACCTTCAAACAGGCCAAATCTAAACTCTCCCCATTACACAGCAGTGATTTCTGCCCCACCAACTGCCATGTCAACATAATGGAAGTTTCCTATCCCAAAACATCAACCTCCCTTGGGAGTGCATTTGGTGTTCAGCTGGATAGCAGGAAGCATAATTCTCATGATAAGGAAAATAAATCTGAGCAAGGTATGTTAGCTTTTGAAACTTCCTCAAATCACGAAACGTAATTTAGGCAATTGTTAACTATTCCAGCATCCCTGAAGTAAGATAGATTCCTGGTGTCTGAACAAGTCTGAATTTTATAAAGACAGGATTCCTCTCTATAATCATTTGGATAATTCTACATAAAATGTTTATAGAATAAAAACAGAGTTATGCATTTTTATTATCTTTCCTCTAAGAAGAACAATTGTTCTTTCTTTCCTTACATGTATGACAGGCACAGCTTATCTTGTTGTGCAGGCCATTAGTCTGAAATGGCCCTATAATGATGAGAAAAATATAGGAGGAGCAGCTTCAGGGATGGACAGTGCCATTCCATACCATCACAGTAAAGCATGAGATGGAAGGATATTTTAATCACAATTCCCATAAGCTTTAATTCCTGAATTACATTCAGCATTGGATTGGCATTTTATTTAATATAAGCCTGGGTGGCGAGAATGAATTGCACCGGATCTTTACTGTGTATTAAAGGTCATAAATATTATTCTGGAATGATCTTACCTCCTCAGGGAAACTGAGCCCTATGGTGTACATTCAGCACACAATCACGACCATGGCGGCCCCTTCAGGCCTGTCTCTGGGACAGCAGGATGGGCGTGGGCTCCGGTACTTGTTAAAAGAAGAAGACCTGGAAACTCAAGATATTTATCAGAAACTGTTGGGCAAACTTCAGACTGCACTGAAGGAGGTGGAGATGTGTGTTTGTCAAATTGATGAGTAAGTACTTTTCAATGTACCTAACAAAATAGCTATAGAAAATGTGACTTTTGAACATCCATCATTCTCTCTTTCATTTTTAGAAATGTAAGATTTCATGAGTGTGAACCATACAGATCCTCTTCCTTCTGACACCTTAAAAGGGATATAACATGGCATTTTAAGGAAGCATTTAATGCCAAGGAAGAGAGTGGCAAAATTCTTTCTTATAGAAAACACTAAGAAAGTCTCAATGTGAAACTATTAAACTCAAAAATATGATGGATAGAGTACCAACTAGGTATGCAGATTTCCTGGTATCCTTTATAGAGCAGAACACAGTAAATGTATATACACTCAGTAGATGTGTATAAAAAATATAAAATATAGCAAATCTTTAACATACTTGTTAAATGAGTAAATGTAAAATTATCTATCTCTAAGACCAAAGAAAAATGAATGAACTTCTTTTTTTTTTTTCCCCTGATTGAATTTATGGTTTACTAAGCAATAACCTATAAATAGCTGTGCCAGTCACTTGAAAATTTTTATCAAAAACGGAGAAAAGGAGGAAGTTAATTAAAACTTTTCCAAAGAGGTTGACTCTGATTCTTACTTAAAAAATTGATGGTTGGCCAATTGCCTCTACTCTGTGGCATGCTTTGCCACATCATGGTTGTGATTGTGTGTCACGGACAGTCAAGGCAACTCTGTTTAGTCACAAAAACATGGGCTTTGGGGGAACTTGGTCTCTCACCTATTAAACAGGATGAAGAATAATAACAAATTACAAGTTTGTGGTGAAAATTATAAAAATCAGTACAAAAAATAGTGCAGTGTCTAACATTATGCTTACTTCTCATTCAAGGGGTTGAAATTGGTGGATATAACTGAAGTTGGTAGAATCTAAAAATGGTATAGACACCATTTTCCCTTTTTTGTCATGCTCTCTTTATGAAGTTACACATTTAGATTGCTGTTGGTTGTGTATTGTTTAATTCCGCCCCCACACACATCATCCCATACTTCCCTGGAAAATTCAGTTTTGACATAAAATATTTAGAACTTATTCTGAGCCTTTTTGGTAATTAGACATTATACAAATAAAATCTTAACTGACAGGATTTTGCTTTTTAAAACTTTTTCTTTTTTTTTTTTTTTAATCTTAGTTATTTATTTATTTGAGAAAGAGAGACCACGAGGACACGTGGCACAGAGGGGCGGAGGGGCAGAGGGAGAAGCAAGCTCCCTGCTCAGGAGGGACCCCCAATGTGGGACTTGCTCTCAGGACCCCGAGATCATGACCTGAGCTGAAGGCAGACCCTTAACTGACTGAGCCACCTAGGCACCCCGACATGATCTCTTATTTTACATGTTTTTGAAATTTAGTGCTGAAAATCACCATATTAGATGTACCGTATTTCTAAGGTTATCTTTAGATAGTTACTATTTATTATGCTAATTTGTTCTGACATTTTTATCAGTTAATTTAAACTTGAAATTCTGTTTTCATGGGTTCTAATACATTAGTTTTAAAAAATTGTTTATATTATATCAGTTTACTATATTGTGACTGCCCCATTTACAGATGAATTAAATAGTTTGGGGTTGCTAAAAGAACAGGTGGCTATTTTTAGGCAATTGTATGATACTTTGGATTGTTTGAGAATGACCTTGTGACACATAAGGTAATATCTTAAGGCATAATATTTTGTTTCATTTAATAAATGGAATTTTATTGTATGATATGTTCTATTTTAGAAACTAGCTTTTTTTTCTCCCTAAAGTATTTAGGAAGTGCACAGAGTAAGAATCTTTATTAATAAGGCAATAAATAGTGGCACTGAATCATGTATCCTAGCTCTCGGAGGGATTTTAGGAGAACATCTGGACCAATCCCACACTGCCAGTTGGGCCAAGAGTTATTACTCCTGCTTTTCAGACAAGTCCTTTACCAATGGCAGGATTATTGATGTGCCTGAGCGCATAGTACCTCAGAGACCAGGACTCTAATGCATTGACTACTCAGCACTTCCTGGCAGTTGTCCAGATTTGGCTGTCTTTGTTAATTTATTGATTTTTTTTTTTTTAAGTTCAGCTGATGTAGATATATTTTCGAGAAAATGGGTAGAGCCAAAGGGCTCCCTTTATTTGGCTTCAAATGCTTTGTATTTGAAGTCCTCATTGAAGAAAGGCGTTAAGCTATTTTTATTAACCAAAACTACTTAAAATAATTACCTATTTTTACTTAAGAGTTTCCCACTCTGTTACTCTAAAAGCCTTTCCCCTACTGTGCATGTTTATTAGGAAAATGACATGAAATGAGCAAGTGATTTGAGAAACTTCCTTGTTCTTCTCTGTGTGCACCATATAATTTAATTCTAAATATAAATATGTTCCACATAATTCAATGTGCAATATAGTCCCTTCAAAACAGTGCAGGCGTCCAAGTGCCTGGATTCCCTTTTGCCCCATTCGGAGATACTGCAGTGCAGTCGAGCTTGACGAATTATTTGAAAAGCTAGTTACCAAACAGTTTTCTCACCATGTAGTAATTACTCTTGGTCAGACATAGATGCCTCTGCAGAGCAGAGAAGCAGATCTCGGATACTCTGCCAAGTTTTAAGAGAAATTGTTTCACAACGTCTCTGGCTGGCCTTTCTAGAAATCCTTCATTCCTGGGGAATGGCCTGGTCCTGAGCTTGTCCGCTTACCCTGCCCCTTGGGAACACATCTCCTAGAAATAACATTTCCTTCAACACATAGACATTCCACTAAATGCTTCTACTTCCTTCAGATCCAAAGATGGGACTAGAGACACATTTGTTGTCTATTACCATGAGATAAGGGGATGTTGGGAATTTATTCAACATTCTATGATTCTTATCTCATTGAAGCTAAACACTTTTGTCCTTTGACGGGCTACTTTCTGGGTAATGACAGTTAGGTACTAGACATAATTAAAGGGCAAAATTTTGTGGATAATCCAAAACCATTGACAGGACTTTAAAATACAGCATTTGTGTATTCTCTCAAGGAGGAGATGAATAAAGGGTCCTGGGGGCTGGTGAAGATAGGAAAGCTGAGAACAGACCTGCCTTTTATAGGGGCCAGACGCCCCGGGCTGAGTCATGAGGAAACCTCACGGTGGGACAGACACTTAGTGACCTGGGCTGTTGGTGGAATTATCTTTGACCATTTTGCTGGTAAATGTATGAAAAGAGGGCTCAGCTTCATAAGCACTAATGTGTATCAGAGGGGTTTATGTGCCAGGCATGGTTTTATTAATATAAGCACTGCTTGATTTCATTCCTGCAGCCCCCTGTGATGTGGGTTATGAAACACAGGGACATAACACATTAAATCTCAAACTTAAAATTTGTTTCCAAAACTGAATTCTAGATTTCCTTATGCAGAAAGCTACTGTGACTCCTCCCCCATGAACATGTTCCCTCTTCTCAGTCAAGTATTCCCCATCTTTTCAGTTCTGCAAGGCAGACTGTGGGTGTTACTGTTGGTTCTTGTTCCTGTCCCTTTACCTCCAGGACCTTATCAAGTTTAGTCAAGTATACATCAGAATGTATCCTCCCCATCACCTTAGGCTGGGTCAGCATTGTCCCCTCACCAGCTGTGCCCCTCCAATGCATTCTACATTCAGCTAATGCCAAAAGGATCTGTACAAGTAAATCATGCTTGTTCCCTGCTTAAAACCATTCCATGGCATTGCAATGCCATTAAAATAATATCAACTACATTACTGTGGCCTGTGTAGCCCTATACACTCTACCCCTGTCATCCTTGCAGTCTCATGTCTCTGAGCTCCAGCTGCACTTGTCTTTTTCTGAACCTGGAACGTGACAAACCTCCATCTGTCAGTGCTGCTCCTGAGGTCTGCGGCTAGCCTTCTAGGCACTCAGGTATCAGGCTAATGCTGATTTGTAGAGAGGCCGTGCCTACTTCCCCAGAATAAGGTAGCGACTCCTCTAGCCCAGTCACATACATCATCCTTCTAGGTACCCTACTCTCTATACAGCTGGTTTTTGTTTTATGTTAACAAAACCCTAAAGCCTTACAGACTTGAAACAATAGGCTTTCTCTCTTGCTTGTTCTCCATGCCCCTCTGTGTCATAGAGTTTCTGCTCCACACTGACCTCACTCAGAGTTCAGGCTGACAGACCCCCTGTCAGCTGGAATGTCTCTGGTTGTCCCCTCAGCAAGAGGAAATGATGTAGGCTGCACATTTGCTCAAAGGCTTGCACCTAGAAGGGACTCAGGTAACCTGCACTTATGTCATACTGGTGAGAACAAGTTAGATGGTCGTTCTTAGCCGCATGGGGGAAGGGAGGCCACCCAGCAATGCGCCCAGGAGAACTGGGATGTGGTGGATTAGCACTAAGGACTGCCTTCCTCTCTCCAGAGTATAGAAATGATATGCAGGGAGGGGCTGTTCTGCATCATTTGCAAAGTATATGTATATAAGAGTGTGTCTCACTCACCCCATCTCCAAAATGAGGATCACCATCATAATAACAGTCATAGCTACTTCTTAAGGAGGCTTTAGGATCGGATGAATTGATTACTTAGCATGGTGACTGGCATAAGAGCTCAACAAATGTTAGGTATGATGAAAATGGTAAAGATGATGATATTTAAGTCTCACTTTAGTAGAAGAACACAGGTTGGACGTAGGATGCTGTGTACAAAAATCTTTATTCATCAAGGGTGTGAGAAGGTGATTGGGCCACTCAGGGTTTTAACTGAGAATTAGCAGACCTAGAGTAGGTAGCTTAATATTGTACATGAGCAAAAGTGAAGGAAAACTATTTCTGTATGCATAAATATTATAAAGCTAAATTTATGCATTATTACTACTTTTAAGAATCTAGAAATTTTATGCAAAAAACATGATATCAGAAACACTGCTTTTCTATCATTTGTTTGTAAGCCTAACACTTGTTCCCACAGGGTCAGTGCAAGCCTGATTACAGCTGTTTAAAATGAAAAGCAAATATGTGAATATAATTCGTATGACTTAAAAAAAAAAAAAAAAAACAAAACGAGTATGCTCGTCCCCATGACTTCTAATTTAAAAGATACATAAAGCACAGAGTACTCCTCGCAAAATGAGAACTCTTGCATCTCCTTCCTCTTTGGCATTCAGAGTTCATCTCTCTATGCAGTATAGAGCTTGGGTAATTGGAGTTAATCTAATGTTTTAAGCTTTTGGGTGGAGGGAGTAAATAAATACATATCTGTCTTCCAAAACTTAAAAGTGTCTTTGCAAACAGAAAAACTGCTTAAAATAATTTATAGCTTCATAGGGCCTTGAGCAGCATAACACAGCCCCCTGATTTTCACTGGTATCTAAAAGGTATAAAATGCCAAAATATTATTCAAATGTTATCTCACAGTGAGACCTTCCTTGACTATACTGTTTGAAGTCACAGCTCCATGTCCCTTCCCTTCTTTATTTTCCTTCTTAATATTTGTCACCATGTGATATACTATACAGTTTACTTGTTTGTGGTTTGTTTCCCCTCAGTAGAATGTAAGCTCCAAGAGGACAGGGGCTTACGTTTGTTATATAAACTTCCATATGCACAGTAAAGCAGTGCATGGTACAAGAGATGTCTCTAATGAACTAATTAGTGAAATCGCTTAACAAATATTTACTCAGTGCACAGTATTGGGTTTGACATGGTGGGTTACACGTAAGAGGTATAAGACAGTCTCAGAGTCTTGAAACAAACATGACATTGCACTAGAAAAATGAGCGTGGACTAGGACAGAGTGTCTCCTGTACTTGGTAAATGAGAAGGTGATTGTTGGCTGCAGAGGCCATGCAAGGGCCCTTGTTAAGTTATGGCTGAATTCATTTTGCAAGTTTTACAGCATTTTGTTTGATAGCCAAGACTGATTCCATGTTGGCATAATTTTGAGTGAGTACTAACAGAAACTCTTAACAGCCCAAGAGTCAAATCTGGAGTGATGGAATCCATGCTACCCAGAGTCCATACCAAGTGTGACACCAATTTAGAACTAAAGGTTGTTGTTTTTGCCTCAAGCCCAAGTGGAAGAGCTTTACATTTGGGCAGATTCGCTACATACCATCGTGACTAGATTGTGGATGATATAGGCATGGTGCCTGTTGTTTCCTGTCCTCACATTGTATGCGACTCTCTTTAATGTCTTACTATTGTGATGGCCAGAACACCTGCTTGTATGAGCAGTGAGAAAGGACTGACCACGTGATATTCTTCCTGTCAAATAAAGACCGCTTGGGAGAAACCCAAGGCAGGGGTAGATGGGTAGATGGGTTTTTAATATCTGAGGGTAAGCCAGTGGGGATATTTAAGCACATTTAGTGTTTATTTTAATATTTGGGTAGCTCTTTAAAGTTCTCCAAGTATTTTTAGATGGTAGTGATAATGACTAGGGGAGGGAGGTGACAATTTTTATATACTGGAGTATATTCTCATTTCATTGTCACAGAGTCACATGGGCTAGTTATTATTATCCCCATATCCTAGATGCCAAAGAGAATCATCCTAGTGTTGCTGTGATAACAAAACCAGTAAGTGGCGGGACGGATTACCAACACAGTTTCCTAGTCTAAATGGGGCGCTGTTTCTATTACTTGTTCTGAGAGGAAAAAGTGAACTTCATACAACTGTTCTTTAATGCAATCAAAAATTAATTTTACGTGAAACAAACACTCTAAAAATATTTCTAAGCCTATCATATTCAACAAGTAAGGTAGTTCTCTGTAGCAGCCAGTTTGAAAATGTGCACTTATTTTTTTTAATATCACATTGCAGCCTTCTGTCTTCCATAACATATTCTCCTAAATTAGAACGTAAGACACCAGAGTGCGTAGTACCACCAGAGAGTGACAACGAGAAGGGAGAGAGAAATAGCAAACGGGTCTGTTTTAATATGGCGGGAGATGAGCAGGAAGACTCGGGCCATGACACCATCAGCAACAGAGATTCTTACAGGTAATTCATTAATTCCTTAAACTCAATCATCAACACAGTCAAATATGATTCCTATTTTTGAATATTTTCCACAGAGGTCTTGAAAAAAAGTTTTGATTATCATTTTTGTTTATCACCCTCACAACATAACTGCCAGCTATTACCAACCCCAGATAAAACATAGTGATCCTGCAGAATCTTTCAAATTATTCTTTTTTCGTAATCAGAGTAATTTGGGAAAAAGCATTTTTTTCCCTCCAGGTCTGTGGAGCTAAACTTGTTCCTGTTACAAATTCTGTAACATGTATAGCAAATAAGCAAATTGAGCCTATATTAACATTTTTTTCCAGATATCTGTTTCTGATTATTGGACTGTGGGGTGAACAGGAGTTCTTTTTTTGTGTGTTTCTCCCCTTTTTTTTCTTATATTCTGTGTTCCAAACAAATTGGACTAATTTTTCCTGCTTACCTCCATGACCAGCTTTCTTTCTTTCCCTCTCTTGCACAATTTCTAAAGATTTATTATTATTATTAATTTGAGAGAGAGTGAGCGAGTAGGAGCAGGAGCAGTGGGGAAGGTCAGAGAGAGAGGGAGAAGAAGATTCCCCACTGAACAGGGAGCCCGAAGCGGGGCTCGATTCCAGGACCCTGGGATCACAACCTAAGCCAAAGGCAGATGCTTAACCAGCTCAGACAGCAGGTGCTCCTCCCTTGCACACTTTGTACAATCTTGATTTGATTGCTGTAACAAAGTACCAAGGACTGGGTGGCTTAAACAGCAGATGTTTATTTATTCATTATCCGACGGTTCTGGGGCCAGAAGTCCATGATCGTGGAGTCAGCAGTGCTGTTTTTTTCTGAGATCTGTGGAGGAATGATCAGGTCTGGGCCTCTTGCCTTGGTTGTAGATGGCCATCTTCTCCCGGTGTCTTCTTGTCCTTTCCCTCTTAAGTGTTTCCCTGTGGTCACATTTCCCCTTCTCAGGAAGTCACCAGTCATACTGAATTTGGGCCCACCACAATGACTTCATTTTAACTAAATTATGTCTGTAAAAATCCTCAATCCAAACAAGATTGTATTTCTGGGTCCTGAGTGTCAGACTTCTACCTGTGGATTTTAGGGGGGAGATGCAATCAACCTGTATCAGCTTCCCTCCAAAGTCTGTTGTCATCTGCCTACCATCATCCTTCCAACGATGGCAATCTCATGACCCTAAGATCATGACCTGAGCCGAAACCAAGAGTCTTACGCCCAGTGGACTGCACCCCTTGTGTGCCTCCTGTCTTATTTACTTTAATCAAGGGCAAAAACTCTCTTACTCACTGTTATTTATTATACAGTATTTTACAGTGAGAAAATATTAAGTAATTACCATTAAAGTTATTCTCCTCAGAGATGTTTAGCACTAATGTTAAAAACATTTTTACCAGACACACAGGGAAACAGGATGATCTCACATAATTCCCAACACAGTTCTACATGGTACACGCTGACATTAACCCCATTTTACATGTGAAGAAACTGAGGCCACAGGAGTTACATAATATACATGTGAAACCAGGTGGGCCGGCTCACGGTTTCTCTCTTAACCACCTTACTATCCTAATTTCTACATGAAAAGGATTTTAACAAATACATAAGAGTTAATTATTCCTAGAGATTTAATAGTATATAACACAGATTAACCATCTTGACCATTTCCTTTACTTTTAGCTTCAAAGGATACCAGTAGACTAATAGGAGGTTTTTCTCCAGTGGTTTTTCTCCAGTGAGAAATTACAGATCTAAAAATATTTTCTTACCTCAATTTCTAGTTCTCAGATAATTAAAATTACCCTCCGAGTCTCCCTCTAGGCTAAACTAGAAATTTTAAACATAAATTTAAAGTTAAATAAGTGCTTCTTACTGATTCTGAGGGGGAAAAAATATTCCATCTCTGATACTCTTTCTGAAATTTTGTAATGTGTCCATATTCACACTCAAAGCTTTTACCCATTGTTTCCTTCCACTTTGACCATTATCGAGCCCTTACCCGATGTGGCGGCCAGTGCTGAGCTCTGGGGTGGAGACAGGGTGCCATCCTCTCCCGGGAAGCTCAGAGAGCAGCTGATGAGTCATAATTTAAAGCTACCAGAAAGACTCCAAAGGCAGAGATCACGAAACAGGACCTTGTCTTTATGAGCACGTTAACTCAGACACACCACCTCAAATAGATAATGACGAATTTTAAGTGCACTTTGACTCCTAGTTTTCTTTTTCTTTCTTTCTTTCTTTGACAGAGATCGCAAGCAGTCAGAGAGGCAGAGGACAGGGGCGGAGGGCGGTGGCTGGTGGGGGAGGGAAGCAGGCTCCCTGATGAGCAGAGAGCCCAATGCGGGGCTCCATCCCAGGACCCTGGGATCATGACCTGAGCAGAAGGCAGAAGCTTTAACCCACTGAGCCACCCAGGCACCCCGACTCCTAGTTTTCTAACTACAGATTAAAAAAAAAAAAAAAATTCATTCAGGATCAGTCTACACAGCTTAAGAGATTTTGAAATACAATTGAATTCAAAATTTTTTAAACCATAAGATAAGGGCGCCTGGGTGGCTCAGTGGTTAAAGCCTCTGCCTTCGGCTCAGGTCATGATCTCAGGGTCCTGGGATCGAGTCCCGCATCGAGCTCTCTGCTCAGCAGGGAGCCTGCCTCCTCCTCCTGTGTCTCTCTGCCTGCCTCTCTGCCTACTTGTGATCTGTCTGTCAAATAAATAATTAAAAAAAAAATGTAAGGTAAAATAGGAGTCAAACAAAAGTGGTTCTTCTCGTAATTTTCTCCAAGACATGTCAATAAGCCTAACTGTGGCGTGACCTGTTTATCTAGTAAGAACAGGGAGGGTGGCAGCAAATTCACTCTGAAATTGACGACGTGTTGTGTTCCTCCTTCTCCCCAGTGACTGCAACAGCAACAGGAATTCCATCGCCTCCTTCACCAGCATCTGCAGCAGCCAGTGCAGCTCCTACTTCCACAGCGATGAAATGGACTCAGGTGCGTTTGGTGGAGGCGTGTGACCTTTTCTGCTGCCTGTCCTCAGGGAGATACCTTTCGGGGATGACAGTGTGTGACTGACATGCGTTTTCACCTTGGATCAGTTGTCCTTGGCCGCCACACGTGCTGGGTGACGTCAACGTCCCAATCCCGTGGTGAACAGAGTGAATTAAAAAGAGACGAAAGAAACAAGTCTGAAGTCTGATCTTAATATATATTTTAGGATTTTCTGTGATACTGTGAGGGAAGCTAGGTACACAGGAAACAGGTTATCCTAAAACATGAGGTGTTGTTGACTTTGTGAGGAGGTGGAGGGGTTTGAACCTGAGGACTTCTGAGATAGTAGATGCACAGGGAGGGGAATGATGAAAACACTGACTGAGAGAAATATCTTACAAATGTCTTATCTGGGGTATGTTAAGAACAGAGACTTTGCACCCAGTTAGGACACTTCTTCATTTTGAAATACGTAGTTTGTTTCAACTATTTAACCGTTAGGAATTGCACTATTTGAAAAAATCATTGACATAGGGTATAGAGTGTTTTCTCCTGTGAGGCACTCTGCTTCCACCTCTGTTTCAAAGAGCAATCATCTGACATCCTGACTGCTATTAAATCTTTTAGAATTCTTTATCTGATCGTAAGAACATGATGGAATAAGACTGCGTGTTTAATTATTATTTTTTGGTGTATTTATATTAAAATATTTTAGTATGTTAAACAAAGATGGGTGACTTATTTTTTATTTCTAGGTGATGAACTTCCCCTCAGTGTTCGCATTTCTCATGATAAGCAGGACAAGATACATAGCTGTCTTGAGCATCTTTTCAGCCAGGTATGATTGGGACAACTAGAAGTCTTTTCCCACACATCAGACTGTTGGGAATCCCTTTCTCAGACATAGTAAAAAAAGCTTCCTTTTTTTTTACTTTGCTTCTCTGTAGGTTTTCAGAATTCTTCATGACATTTCTTGCTTGACTTTATTCCTAATTTCAAGAAGCACAAGATTCTCTTGGTGTTTGTGTTGGTGTTTTGCATTTTTAAGAAAATTTATATCAATAACCAAATTCATAGAGTAGAAGATTTTACTGCTTTGAAAAACATTATGATGTCTTTTAGGGTTTTTAAAAATAACCCTAGAAATCTTCTTTTGTGAAATGAATATGTTGAGCATATTTATATCTTATATTAATATATGATGGGATAATAAGAAATTTTGCAATTGTTGTCAGTAAGTTTATTCCAATATTTTATTTAAAGATGGATTTTGCAAGCATCATGCGATTTCAAAAATAATTATGGCTTTAAGACAAAAATACTTTATAAGATTTACGCTTAGAAATACATTTATTATGTATTATGAGAAGTATGTAACTTTCAGAAATCTCTGCTCTTATGGTAGGTGGATTCAATTACCAATCTCCTAAAAGGACAAGCTGTTATAAGGGCCTTTGAACAAACCAAGTACCTCACACCAGGTCAAGGATTACAAGGTAAGGTTTAAAAATTCACCATTAGAGGGGCACCTGGGTGGCTCAGTGGGTTAAAAGCCTCTGCCTTCAGCTCAAGTCATGATCCCAGGGTCCTGGGATCAAGCCCCGCATCGGGCTCTCTGCTCGGCAGGGACCCCACTTCCCCCTCTCTCTCTCTGCCTGCCTCTCTACCTACTTGTGATTGCTTTCTATCAAATAAATAAATAAATAATGTTTAAAAAATAAATAATTAATTAATAACAAAATTTTTTAAATAAAAAGTCACTATGAGAAACAATTGGGAAACAAAGGTGGGAAATAATACAGTCATGAAGTAAAGGCATAGTGTAAGAAGAAAATGGCTACTCGTGTTTCATAATCCCCTTCATATTAATTCTATTTTAATAACTTTGGAATATAGATAAAAAGTCAGTGGGATGTTTTAAATTTATTTGCAAATGTAAAATGTGCAATGCCTATAGGGACTAGAATAAATAGGAATGAGTTAATTGAAGAGATGTAAGTGTCTCATAAGTGTGAAGTGTTGCAGCTTTTGCTGAAACCAGTATGCCTACTTGGTTGTAGCCCATTCATTGTTGGGGGAAGGGGTTTCAGGAATGAGCTTTGACAAAAAGAACAGCCAAACAGAATAAGCTCTAGAGCTGCCACTTTTTGACATCTAGTTTCAGACATTGAAAAGAGAGTTTTTATCTAAATTTGCTCCTTTGTTTAAATGTTTGTAAGAAAATAATAAGGTTAGCCTTTCTTTTTTAGATTTAACCAATTTTCTCCTGAAATATAATTAGAGAAAGTACCACCGTGCTAATAACCCATGACAACAGGAATGAAAGATGATTCTGAAGCTCACAGATTTGTTAACTGTTTGGTAAATGGTTGAAACTTAAAAGAGATTTCTGTATTTATTTAGAATTTCAGCAGGAAATGGAACCAAAGTTGAGTTGTCCAAAAAGGTTAAGACTTCACATCAAGCAAGACCCTTGGAATCTTCCCAGCAGCGTCCGGAATCTTGCTCAGAACATCAGAAGATTTGTTGAAGGTCAGGACGAAAAGCAAAGAATATTGCATAGCATTAGCAATAATGATTTAAAACCAAAAGTTCAGTAATACCTTGATTACTTTTTTGCAGTATTTCATGTTATGAGGAAAATCAAAGACCTGGAAATGGTGAGGGAGGGAGGAAGCAAAAGGAGGAATAGGATTATAGAGCCTTATGTTCCAAGGATCTAAATGATGTACACTGTATCACGGAGAATATTCCTGGTGAATAAAATAAGGGCTCATACTTGGGAGGACATGGAATGTGAAGAGTTTCATATTTTAAAATATGAAACAATATCAGCAAAATTTCTAAAGATTCACCAAAGTCATGAAGCTAAGTTTTATAGGAAGTCTAAAAAGTTAATTGTGAACTTGCAAGAATCGAAATAATAAGATAGGTCATGTCATTGGTTTATGTTTCTTTTTCATATTTGTCTAAGTTTATTTTTATTAACTCTCATGACATTGTTTACTCAACATCCTGTGACTGATACCTGCAGTCGGAGATAGGACATTTCAGGACAGCTCTAGTGCATCTGATTACGTGTTGTTTAGGGTCAGGGTGTAGAAAATTCTGAGCGTTTCCAAAACAAGTATGGTAGAAAAGATGAAATGAGAAATTTGTTTAAGTTTTTTAAAAATGCTTAATTTGGTGATTTTCTTCCCAACATCAGACCAGTGGTTGGCGACGTCTGGAGATATTTTCGGTTGTCACCATTGTGGGGGTGCTCTTGGCATCCAGCGTGTAGAGGCCAGAGATGCTGACAAATGTTCTGCAATGTACAGCACAGTCCCTCATGACAAAGGATTATTTGGCCCAAAATGTCAATAGTGCTAAGGTTGAGAAACCTCCACAATAAATAAGTATATGCCTATGTTTACATTTTTATTCCTCAGTCTTCGTATGTCAGTTGCATGTGGTAAATAACACTCAGCAGAATTATAGCATATCCCCCAGTCACTGCTAGAGAGAGTTAGAGAAAGTTGTGTAGAGAAAGTTAGAGAAAGTTGCTGACAAAAGACAGCTCTTAAATCTGATAGAGTCTGGGCCTGTGGCATAACTCCTTTGGGCCTCAGTTTCTTCATTTACCAAATGAAAAAGATGTGTATATGTTCTATGATTACTAAGTCTTCTGCCTAGAAATATACTCAAATATAACAGCTTAGATACTCATTTAGAGTTCAGTGGAGGAAAGTTTTGTACAGATATGGAAAGGTCCAAATAAATCACAGCAGTTCTATTGTGAGATAAAATCTTTTGTTTTTGACAGCTGTATTTCTTGGCTACATTTTTATTTTATAGCTACATATAATGGTTATTTGTGACAGATTATAACATCATATTTGATGAAAAGTCTGAATTTAAAACCTCCCAAAGTAATGAGTAGCAGAAATGATAAATACATCTTTTAAAGACTGCTTGGTGTAAGGAATTCAAACATATTTTACTAAGTAGAAGGTTTTTTTTTTTCTTTTTGCAGCATAAATGCCAGTATCATAACACTCCTAGAAATTATAATTCATGAATCTAAGTGCACTTGTTCTCTCTACCCCTGAAACTAATAATATACTATGTGTTAACTAACTTGAGTTTAAATAAAATCTTTAAAAATATTTAATGCATTTGTTCTCATCATCTTTGAGGGTTTTTTTTTTTTTTACATTATAGTTGTTTTCAGAGTAAATGCAATATCAGTTAAGAACAGAGAAATCTTTAGACCTTTTCTTGTTTTGTTTTTTGAGGAGCTTTATCTTTAAGATATAAACTTTATCTAATGCAAGATAAAAAGCTTAATTTTAATGGTATTCATTTTAAAAATCTTAACATTTTCATCATAAGTTCTGCTTTTATAACCTCAATACCTCACTCATATCACAAGAAGCAGCTATAGGAATGATAACTATTTGCATATATTGACTGATGTGTGTTGTGAATATGGGTGCCAGTCTTGGTCAGGGGAGCTCAACAACTGGTTGAGTATGGTTGGGTGTGCTGACTGTCTTCCAGTGAATGGTGTGGGGAGGGGTCTTTGCAGAATTTAAGTTATATCCCTGTTTGCAAGTTTTAGTGAGATGCACTTCTTTGGCTAAGTTCTGTGATTCTCACCATGTTAAGTGAATCTCTAAAGAATGATTAATCACTAGTTCAGTCCAATGGACTGTCAAGAAAGAGGTCAAGCTGTCATTTCTGCTCATCTGTTTGTTGTCTGGTCCTGTTATACAGAATGGAAGCAGCAGCATTGAGATTCTTGTAATCAACTGCTTGTTATGTGGAGGTTCTCTGATGTAACCTCACTGATTCATTATGAATTTATTCTATTCAACTTAAAGTACTTTTCATTCTATTTCCCAATTGTCTTTATATAGGGGATCATTTAATAAAGGATTAGGTCTTGGCTAGAAATTCAACATAATGTCACCTTGCCAGAATTTCATGGTTTATTATACAGCAGGGATAACCCCATTCTCATGTTTCTGTAAGGGAGGAAAAAAGTAATTTTTTTCCCCTTCTACCCTACTAGGTTCATTGGCTGGGCCCTATAGATCAGTCAGACAAAAGACAAATTAACTAGGGAAACACATATAAATTTATTTAATATGTTTTATATGATACGGGAGACTTTGTAAGGAAATGGATTCCAGAAGAAATAGTTAAACCTGAGTGCTTTTACACTAGGTTTGATAAAGAGTAGAAAGCTTTAGAAAAATGTGATAGGATGAAAGGGTATGTGCTAAGGGTAGAAAACTGGAGAAATTTAGCAAGGCCTGTTCTCAGTGTCCCTCTGTCTTTGGAAATAAGGATGTTCCTTTCCTCTGGGATTGGGAGGGCACTTCTCACAAGAGGGTTTTATGACCAGCCTCGAGGGAGTAGGGGGAGATCAGAGAGTCCTCTATACACCTTCTGTTTATCAAGTTCCTTCAGCTTAAAATTTTCAGTATGCCAAATTGCCATATTTTGGGGTAGCATGTTCTGAACCTCATCATTTGTTCATCGCTGATTTCAAAATATCCTATCAAGTATATATCAGAATATAATAATTCTATGATCTTTATATAGAGAACACTGTTACAGTACCATTCCTAAGCTGCATCACACTGGACTAAGTGGGGGATAGATTAATTTTGCATTGTCACTAAGCAATAAAGTGATGTCTGCCTCCTACTTCATCTCTACACTAAATTATGGTCTCAGATTATCAGCAAGCTGAAGATGTTTTTACATGATTAGCACACAGTGATACTGGGATTTATATAAGAAATATATATTTGGTCTTTGTCTCCTTTCCTTGCTCAGATTTCCTAAAACTCTTGGAATTTCTTATGATCAGAGCTAGAAAGGTGTCTTTTGTTATGCCCATGAAGTGACTTTTGGAAAACTTCTAAGGATGGGAGCTGATTTGCCAAGGAAGCCAACCATGTGATTAGAGAGTTGGAACTTTGAATACCACTCCCAACTTCTGGGAGCAGAGGGGGGTTGGAGATTGAGTTCAGACACCAATGACCAATGATTTAATCAATCATGCCTATGTAATGAAGCCTCCACAAGTTCAGAGAGCTTCAGGGTTAGTTCTAGAAGAGTGGTGCTTTCAGAGAGCATGGAAGTGCTGCACCATTTCCCCATACCTTACCCAGTGCATCTCTTCCATTTGGCTCCTGAGCTATATCCTTTTATAATAAACAGGTGATTTAGTAGATAAATGTTTCTCAAAGTTCTGTGAGCCACTCTAGCCAATTAATCAAACCCAAGAGAGAGTCACTGAAACCACCAATCTGCAGCCAGTTAGTCAGAAGCATAGGTGGCAGCCATGATTTGCAGTTGGCACATGAAGTGTGTGTGTGTTGGGGTGGGGGGCAGTCTTGTGGAACTGAGCCCTTACTCTGTGAGATCTGATGCTATCTCCAGGTAGATAATGCCAGAACTGAGTTGAATTGTAGGATACCCTGATAGTATTAGACAATTGCTTGGTGGTATGGGGGAAAAACACACACTGGAATTTGTGACAGAATTAGACCCACCATCCCCTTAAAGTCAAATGTTTATTAGTAAACACATTTTCAATTCTTGTCCCCTACAAAAGTTGTACTCTTTTCAAAATCTCCCATTGATTCAGCAACTTTTTTTTTTCATTTTTTTCCCTCTGCCTTTGTCCCAGATATCCCAAAGAACTTCTTTCATTTTTTTAAATCAAAAGTCTCCAATTTCCCCCTTTTTCTTCTTACTGCAGTAATTGGAACAGTTTTCTGGATAATCCCCCATCTCTATCTTTTCTGATTTATATATTACTATATACTATATTCAACTTCCTAAAATATTATGTTCATTTTAGAACCCTGCCCAGAACCTTACATGATTTTTGTTAGCTAAGTCTAAACTCATCATTCTGGTGTTGGATCCAATTTTTAAATGAGGCTTTCTAATTGTATCCCAATCTCAGTCTCTAAATGATATAATAAAATCTTTTCTATGCTAGATTGTTGGATATTTGGTATTCATTCTTTACTATACTCTCTTGCTAGCACTCTTTCCCACTTTTTGGATATGAACCTATTCCCTTGACACTGTAACTTTAAAAAATGTTTAAAAACATTTACTTGTGATCTCTGTCTCTCAGATAAATAGATAAAATTAAAAAAAAACATTTTCAAGACACAGAATTCTATACCAATTTTTTAGCTGGATTCCGATTAGAATAATAACAGTGCTTCACAGATATACAGCATGTTAAAGAATTTCCCAAGGCTTTTAATATATATCCCTGTTTATTTTTCCTACACAGGTCTATAAAAATAGATAAGATAGGTGTTATCATCACTTATAAATGAGCACCTTGAAACTCAAAGTATGGTTGACCATTGAACAGCATGAAGGTTAGGGGCACTGACTTCCTGCACAATCAATCTGCATATAGCTTCTGACTCCCCCAAAACCTCACTACTAATAGCTGACTGCTGACCAGAGCCTAACTGATAACATAATCAGTTAGTACATATTTTTTACATTACACGTATCATATATTATATTCTTTCAATAAAGAAAGCTAGAGAAAAGAAAATGTTTAAAAAATCATGAAAAGAAAAATACATTTACAGTACTATACTGTATTGACTGAAAAAATTCCACGTATGAGTGGACCCATGCAGTTCAAACCTGTGTTGTTCAAGGGTCAACTATGGTTGAGCCATTTTCTGAAGACCACAAAGCTGGTACGGATATACCACACTATCCTATGTTTTGCTTTCCTTGGTTTCAGTTACTCTTAGTCAGCCACAGTCCAGAAGCAGATGATCCTCTTTTTGACTTAGAAGGTCAGTCACAGGCTAACTCTACATCATGATGCCTACATCATTCCCCTCACTTCATCTCTTCACATTGGCGTTTTATCATTTCACATCATCACAAGAAGGAAAAGTATGGTACAATAAGATATTTGAGAGAGAGAGACCAGATTCACATAACTTTAATACAGTATATTATTATAATTGTTCTATTTTATTATTATTTCTTGTTGTTAATCTCTTACTGGGCCTAATTTGTAAATTAAATTTTGTCATAGGTATATGGATGTACAGGAAAAACCATAGTATATACTGGGCTTGGTACTACCCATTGTTTCAGGCGCCCACTGGGGTGGGGGAGTCTTGGAATGTCCCTCATAAATAAAGGGGGATGACTGTAGCAGAAGTGTGTTGTGGACTCTTCGTCCAGGATACTTTTCTGCCTCTGAAATTCTCTTGTTCTCATGTTATCACTTTTAAAATGTAATAACCTCTCAAATATCTCCTGTACTTCTTAACAGATAATTTTGTCATTCTGACTCTGTTGTGAACCTGTTTGGAATAGGATGCAACTTAAACTTTTTTTTAACTTCCCATAATCTGGGGGGCATGAAGAAGCTCTGTATGTTTTTATATTTACTCATTGAGAGTAAACTATTTACCAATTAGAAGTAAAGTAATGAGTATGAAGCTAAGACACAATAAGCAGTTGTGATTGCCCTTGTTTGGAGATGGGCTGGGGAGAACAGTATTTGAAACTATTTAGTATTGTTCTGCCCTTTAGGGCGGTTCTTGACATAGAGATAGGAAAGGAAGTCTAGAGAGAGAGAGATTTTATATATATATATATATATATATATATACATATATATATATACTGTACATATTACACGTATATACACATGCACACACTATATAATCTGTAAGTATAATCTGTATAATTACATATAATTTATAATTATCATATGTAATGAATAATATGATATGTATAATTATATATAAAGATTATTAAATGCATATATAATCTTCAAAAGTGTAAGTAACTAAGAAAAAATGCTGTTTGAGAACTTACTGATCAAGACCATAATCGCTATAGGAGTTTAGAGAACACCATGCACACTACAGCAGTTAAGGGTGACTTAACAAAGGTAGCACAATTTGAATGGTGTTGCACAAGCTAATTTAAATCAGAACTGTAAGAAATTGTAACATCTAGAGCAATGGATAGAATTTATATAGGTAGATAGGAAGAACAGCATGTCAAGTAAATGGGATTTTTATTATCTAATATAGTAAGATTGTGCTAATTTTTACTGCACAGTTAAAATGTGGTGCTAGTGGGAGAAAAAGACTAACCTGTTAATTTTTTTTTTTTTTTTCTGCAGAGGTCAAGTGTAGGATACTCCTGGCTCTTCTTGAATATTCAGGTACTATTTTTCATTATTTTTATGATTTGAAATTATTGTTGTCCATGACCTTAGAAGTCTCATGATATCAAGGCAGTGCTTTCAACAAATTAGATGGAAATACAATCCCTACTTTCTCTAAAGTCTGGCAGAGATTTAAGAAAATGCTTAATTTTAATAAAAGCATAAAAACATGCTCATCTTCAATTATAGGTACAAAGTGGAAACTTACATAAGTATATGTTTATACAGAATATAATTAAAAAGGAGAAGGAAAGCAGGTTTTGGTAAAGCGAATTGTACATAGGATTTATTGTCAAACTATGTCTAACTTTTGTTTATGATCAAGGCTGTAGGTGGGCTCAGAATCAAGGGTTAGAAAAGCAGACCTGTACTTTGAAAGGCAGAATCTTTTATAATCTACCAAACCTGGAAATTTTAAATTAAAAGTGAATGACTAAGTCAAGTTAACCAGGGCTTTTTTGTTTGTTGGCTGGTTTTGTTTTAATTAAACAAGTAGTTGTCTTGTTTTTTGACTGAGTAATAATAATAAACAAAAGTGTCTTACTTTTTTAAGTTTTCACTAATAACTAACCAGTTGATAGACTTCATATTAATGGATTTCCTTGGGTCCTCACAATCACTCTATGAGAATATTATTATCTTTCCACAGGTTTAAACATGAAGAAATTAACATTTAGGCCAATTAATAATAATAAGGAGAAAGGGTATTCATTCGACACATATTTTTGAGTATCTGGAAGATTAATTAGATGCTTGATTGAGTAAAGGCATAAGTAGTGGATGGCAGATGAAATTCAAACTTAGTTATGCCAATTCCAGAAGTGGTCCTGGAATGCATTGCTTTATTCATTCATATTCAAACAGCTATTCTTATAGATCTTTATTTTGATTTCAATTTTATTTTTCTATTCCTGTCAGAAGCCTCCTTCTTCTTACTTTATTTACTAACTCTTTTTTCCCCTCTGTAATATAGGATGGCACCAGAATGTAGCCAAATTACTCCATATTGTTGGCTGCAGAGTTATGCTTGCCACTTGAAAAGGGTAGATTGTGTCTGCTAAATATATTTTTTAAAGATTTTACTTATTTATTTGACAGAGAGAGAGATCACAAATAGGCAGAGAGGGAGGCAGAGAGAGAGGAGGAAGCAGGCTCCCTGCAGAGCAGAGAGCCCAGTTCGGGGCTTGATTCCAGGACCCTGAGATCACGACCTGAGCCAAAGGCAGAGGCTTAACCCACTGAGCCACCCAGGTGCCCCTGCTAAATATTTTAAATTCATCTTTATTCCTATCCTTCTCTCTCTCTAATCTCTCTTTTATTTCTTTGTTGTTATTTTTCTATTATTGTTTTCTTTTCCCTATAGTCTTAGGATAATGACTGTGATTACTTGTGTGCCTAGAAACCATCTCATTCTTTTTAGACCAGCTATGGAATTTGAGCTTTTTAAACCAGGGAGAGAAAATGAAGTATTACTATTTTAAAACATGCTTGTAGACGGTGAGTTTAAGTAGGTGCTTAAATACTGGAATGAGACAGAAGCCTTTGATAAGTTAAACATCCATTTCTTTTGAGTGTATTCCCGCTACAAGAGAATTGTAACTCTGCAAAAACAATAAACAATAAACAATAAACAAACTGTAACCAAAAAACAGCTCTCCCTGCCTTTCTTCTTTTGCTAGAAGCTGAAAGCAGCTGTTGTTGATCCTGTCGTAGTTCTTATTGATAAAAATGAGGAATGAGAATAGTTTTGAGGAAGGACGGACACTCGTGAATTTCGAACAGCTGTGCAATTAAGACTTGTCAGTTTTTCTTGAGAGTTTGCTTATTTTGGTGTCTTTATTCATCCTATGGTTCCTTCCCTGGTCAGCAATAGAACTGAGCCCCACTCAGTGCCAGGTACCCTGCTAGATGCTGGAGAAAAGAATAACAATGCTGTGCGATTTCACTTGCTAACTAAGTGCTTTATCTTTGTATCTCATGTTATCTTATGTTTTGTATCTTATGTATCTTATGTTTATTGCAGGACTGAGCAGAAATAACCCATACTCTATAAAAGAATCTGATACCTAGGATTATATGGTTTAAAATGAGTGGAATGAGTAGATGAAAGCAGATTATATGTCTCTAGGTCCATGAGCGCCATTCACACTATATGCCCCTTCCTCTGTCCTTGATGTGCTGATGGTCTCTTGGGGAACCCAAACATGTAAACAAACTCTCACAATGCTGAGTAATTAGCCATCTAGTAGAGGGAGGTCCCCAGGCCCCTGATGGCAGAGCAGGAAGTCCATGATACCTGCGGAAGGAGAGAGGAAATTTTGCAAGGGAATATAATATTTCAGTAGTTAAGTGGGTTCCCAGTAGTTCAAGGAGTCGACTCTAAAGAACGATTTATTTTATTTTATTACATTCAGTTAGCCACTGTATAGTACATCATTAGTTTTAATGTAGTGCTCAATAATTCATTAGTTGCATATAACACCCTCTGCTCATCACAACATGTGCCCTCCTTAATACCCATTACCCTATTATCGCATCCCTCACCCCTCCTCCCCTCTGAAAACCTCACTTTGTTTCCTGGAGTCCCCGGTCTCTCATGGTTCATCTTCCTCTCTGATTTCTCTTCTGTCAGTTTTCCCTCCCTTCCTCTATGGTTCCCTATGTTATTGGTTATGTTCCACACAGGAGTGAAGCCATATGATAATTATCTTTCTCTGCTTGGCTTACTTCACTTAGCATATTCCCATTCCAGATAAAGGGCTGATATCCAAGATCTATAAAGAGCTTCTCAAAATCAACATTCAAAAAACAAATAACCCAGTCAAAAAATAAGCAGAAGACATGAACTTCTCCAAAGAAGACATACAAATGGCCAACAGACACATGAAAAAATGCTCAACATCACTAGCCATCAAGGAAATACAAATCAAAACCACAATGACGTACCACATTACTCCAGTTAGAATGGCAAAAATTAACAAAACAGGGAACAACAAATGTTGTTAAGTATATGGAGAAAGGGGAACCCTCTTACACTGTTGGTGGGAATGCAGGCTGTTGCAGCCACTCTGGAAAATAGCATGGAGGTTCCACAAGATTTTAAAAATAGAGCTATCCTATGGCCCAGCAATTGCACTACCAGGTATTTACCCCAAAGATACAGATGCAGTGAAAACAAACTGTACATGCACCCCAATGTTCATAGCAGCAAGTCCATGATAGCCGAAATGTGGAAGGATGATTTAAAGTTTGTTGGTGGAGAGGATGGGAAAGTACCCACACATAGCCAGAGGGCCTCCATAGGGACAAAAGTGTGAGCTATAATAGCATTTATAAGGGCATCTAGCATTTGAGGAACCTGAGCAGTGGTGTGTAGCTCCAAGAGGAGAGGTCTGTACAGCCAGGTTTCTGGCTACTTTCAGATACGTTGTTTTATTATATTTTCATAACAAGCCTGGGAAGATCATTGTTGGTGTGGGGGATAAATGAAGGGAAGTAATGTATTTAAAAGCTGTCAGCATAACTTGAGGATAGATTGTATAGACCCCTTTCTGCCACTCTGAGTTTTTTACTTTTTTACTCCCTGGGAGGTGATAATGTGTACAGAGTTACTTGAAAAACTCAGTATGATGGGTCTATTGAAGTCTATGCAAACAAGTCATTTACTCTGTGGGAAATAGGAAAGTGTAACTGAAAATCACCTCATAAAGTAGTAAGGAGTTATATAAAGTATTTTTCATTCAAAAATATGTTGGTTTGAAATTTAAATGGCAGTGTGGTCCAGAGCATCTTGTGTATCAAATTCTGTGAGCATACACATGTCCCAAGCCTCAACTTGAATACCTTCAAATCCCCAGTAACTGGTGCCATGTTTAATTCCTGTGGTGTATTCAGCATGAAGAGTTTGAAGTAATAGAGAAATAAAACTTTTGCGTGATCACTTCTGACTTGATAATGAAAATTGAATGAAAATTCTATTGGGCTTAAGATGCATATAGAATATAGTAGTGGAATGTAGAATAAACATTTATGTATTCTTTCTAAGGCTAAAAAAAGGGAAGAAATTTGGGCATTTCTTCTCAAAAGCGATTTGAAAATAATTATTTCTACTAGTGGCAAAGTTACTAACCCTTGTGATCTAAAGTTTTTCAGTGGAACTGGATCCTTCCTCCTATAGACTTTGGCTTTCCATTCTTGATAGAAGGCATTTCTTTTCCAATTCAGTTTTGGTTATGAAATTATTCTCAGGTTATAAGTGGGAGTATTTCTGCCAAAACTATTGAAGTATTTTTTAAATTTCCCTAGATTTTCTGCTTTGCTATAGAACAATAGAACCCAAAGCAAGACTGTGTAAGAAAGATACAGGACAGTTTTATTTAGTTTCTGTTTGAATCTCAGCACTGCAGCTAAACATTTGGGTTAACAAGCTATGTGAATTACCCTTTTAGGTCAAACTAAGTCCAGACATTTCAAGAAGTCAGAGAATGAGCTCATACATTTTTGTTTCACTTACTTTGTTTGTTAGTTGCTGTACTGGTTCATTATTTTCATTAATTAATTCAATAAACTGTTACAGAATGTCTACACTTTGTTAAAAATTGTATACAACAAAAAATAGGTGTTTTGCTTTTTTCTTAATCAAGAATTGGGCAAAGATTTTTCCTACTTTAGCTGTTTTACAGTTACCTGTAAAACACTATTTTCCATCTATTTGAATGAGGCACATAGTATATAATTACTTAAGGGAAATGACTAACAAATGTTATTGACTAAATTAATAAGTTGAACCATATGGAGTTGCCATATTTGACCATTTTGACCAAGGAAAGCAACAGGTTCGTAGAGATCAATGTAATAAATGAATATTCATTATAAAATTAAATGTTTTACAATTTAATCCTTTTTCTAATAAAATTTTCAGAGTAGCTTTTACTAACAGTGAAACTAGGCAACACAGCAATTACAGTATGTATTCACATGCTTTTGATGGTTATTAAAGACATATGTTCATTGTTCTTAGTAAACAACTTAAAAATTATGCCTTTTTATCAATAAAGCAAAAACTTATGGCAACATTTATGTCTATGAACTAATATTGACAGTGCTTCATTTCAGAAAATTCTGAGCCCTTGAAATATTCAGTACACTTTTGAGAGTATGAACATTTTTGCTTTTGTTGTTTATCTAGTACAAGTGATTTTTCAGTGTACAGAATGTATGGCTTGACATTTATAGAGTTTATAGAGTTTGTATATATCCAAAAACTCAAAAAGGTGAATCTCTGTGATCAGGTTTTCAAAGGCAAGCTTCTTTCCACTTGAAAAAGCTGTGGCCCAGGAGTGGCCATTCATAGGGTAAATACATCTTCTGTGTGGGTCAATCAAAAATACAGCCAATTGCAGAATATGAACCCAGGTGAAAAATCGGTGTTTGTTAAAACTGTAAATACACTCCTTATTTCAAAGAAATATAAGAATTTATAACCTGGGCATGTTTATAACTCATGAAGTTTAATAGCTAAATCCAAGAAATCCAGATTTGGTTATTGTTATAATCGGACATCAATACTCTTTCCCCATGTGCATGTCACTTAATATTCGAGTACGTTTGTTAGGTCATTTTTAAAAAGTTAATATTAATAATGTAGTTCATTGTCAACAACTGAAAAATTAGACTTCGAGTTTCCTTTAGGAAGTATCATTCAACAAACACAAATTGTGTTCCATCAAAAAATACTAAATAAAGCCTTATTTTTTCCCTTGGGTTTTGTAAAATAATTTAATGATCGCAAAAATTAAAATCACGATACTAGTTAAGAAAAAATTAATTTTTTTTACATTTTTTGGTGTTTAATGTTTTCTATAAAGGCTTAAGTGTTTGTGCTCATTAGTGGGGTTCAAATTGACATTTTTCACATGGTTTGAGTTTGGTGAAAGGATGAAATAACAAAAACTATAAATGCTTAATGATCTGGTTTTATTTACCTGTGACATTTTTCAAAGCTGTCTTTATGTCCTCCTGGCTTACAGACAGTGAAACACAGCTCCGAAGAGACATGGTTTTCTGCCAGAGTCTTGTGGCCACCGTGTGTGCCTTCTCTGAGCAACTCATGGCAGCATTAAACCAGATGTTTGACAACAGCAAAGACAATGAGATGGACACGGGGGAAGCCAGCAGAAGGTGGCTGGACCAGATAGCAAATGCGGGTGTTCTTCTTCACTTTCAGTCACTCCTGTCGCCAAACCTGGTAAGGAATCCCAGTGCCTCCCACAGGAACATACATTGTAACATATTCCCAAATAAGAAGTGGTTATTCATTATGTGTTAGCAGTCGGTCAGCTACTTGAAAAGAATGTATTTTGCTATGAGCAAATACAGCTGGGTAAGTATATAGAAGGTATTCCTTCTTTGCTGACTTTTATTTATTCTCCGGCTTCCAAAAGCTGAGAAAGCCTCCATCTGTTACTAATTCCTGTATCCCTAAGCACGAACTCAGAAAGATCTTCAGAGGGAAGAGGGTCTTTCTGCTGTGGTTCCTTATTTCCAGGCCAGAAGAAACAGCCTGGCATGAAACCCAAACTCCCACTGAGGCTGATGTCAGGAACGTGCTTGATAGACAAGATCGGACAACCTGTCTGCCATACTGTCTGACAGTCTGTTTAAAATTTGCTATGTTCAATGATTTTATTTCCTTTCTTTGTAGGCATGTTTGTCCTGTTAAATCTAAGAATATTCCGTATTTACATATCCACTTCCCACAGTGCCTATGAAGAAAGTATCTCAAAGTATTTGATAAATAAAAGTCGTCTTTTAAGATATCCTTTCTGTGGTTCTGATGGTTGTCACGATGTTTAAAGGCAAATATGTTCACTCGTGTATGAACTTAAGGTACTCCTTAAATAGATCGTGATTTTAAACATGAGATGCTATGTCACCCATTAAATTACACATAGAACATGTGGCTACCAAGTAATGGTTGAGTTTTTAAGCAGATGTATGTGACTTTATATATCAAAATGCTTTTCTACAATGATTATGAAGATAGGGAAGTAATTGCAGTATTGCACAATCATAAAAGGTAAGGAAGTTCACCTCCATGTACTTCAGAGAAATTGTTTTTTAAGGTTTTACTTATTAGACAGAGAAATAGACAGCAAGAGAGGGAACATAAGCAGGGAGAGTGGGAGACGGAGAAGCAGGCCTCCCACTGAGCAGGGAGTCCCATGCGGGGGCTCAATGCGGGGTTTGACCCCAGGACTTTGGGATCATGAACTGAGCTGAAGGCAGACACTTAATGACTGAGCCATCCAGGCATCCTGAAACAGTTTCTTTTGAAAAGACTCATGTATCCCATGTGGGTGATCAGTTTCTTATTTGGCTGGTAATAAAACTATGAAAGGTTTAACTAATGAAACTTTTGAAATAAGGCACTTTGGGAAAAGTTTAAAAAATTTTTAAATATATTAATTAATCATTTCTTACCAAATAGAAATTACATAAGATAGGAAGACCACATAACACATGGTAGCATGAAGTGCCTGTTGAATGAGTGAATGAATGTGGCTTCATTCCTATTCTACTCCTAACTTAAAACCGCCATTGTTTTATCAATCGCTGGTACTTTTAAACTTAATTTTGTTTGAAATCCCAAGAAATGGGAGAAAATATTTGTAGTTTATATATCTGATAAGTGACTTAAAGGAATACTTAAAGGAATTCTTAAAACTTAAAACAATAGAAAGACAATTCAATTAAAAAGATTCCTGGGGCACCTGGATGGCTCAGTGGGTTAAAGCCTCTGCCTTCTGATCAGGTCGTGATCCCAGGATCCTGGGATGGAGCCCCACATTAGGTTCCCTGCTCAGCAGGGAGCCTGCTTCCCCCTCTCTATCTGCCTGCCTTTCTGCCTACTTGTGATCTCTGTCAACTAAATAAATAAAATCTTAAAAAATAAAAGACTCCTACAGAAATAATCAACAGAATAATTAAATGGTACACAGATGGGAGACATGAGAACCTCTCAATTCAGTCAAGTGCTGAAAGCAACATTATGAAAACAAAAACAAAACAGAAGCGCTTATGAAAAACGGGCAAATAGAATGGAATATTATTTGGTAATAGAAAGGAACAAAGGAATGCTTTAACAGATGGATTAATCTTGAAAACATGCTAAATGAAAGAAGTCAAATATGAATGATTCCATTTATATGCAATGTCCACAACAAGGTAATTCAGAGAGATAGGAAGTGGAGTAGCAATTGACTAGGGCTGAGGGGGTTTGGAGGGAAAGGGGAATGGGAATGACTCCCAGTGGATGTAGGGTTTCTTTTTTGGGGTGATGAAAATGTTTTAAAATGGAATGTACGGTGTCTGGGTGACTCAGTTGGTTAAGCAACTGCCTTCAGCTCAGATCACAATCCTGGAGTCCCAGGATTGAGTCCCACATCAGGCTCCTTGCTCAGTGGGGATTCTGCTTCTATCCCTGACTCTCTCTGCTCTCATGCTCTCTCTCTCATATTCTCTATCTTAAATAAATAAATAAATAAATAAAATATTTATTTATTTATTTAAAGATTTTTATTTATTTATTTGACAGAGAGAGATCACAAGTAGGCAGAGAGGCAGGCAGAGAGAGAAAGGAGGAAGCAGGCTCCCTGCCAAGCAGAGAGCCCAATGTGGGACTTGATCCCAGGACCCTGAGATCATGACCTGAGCCGAAGGCAGAGGCTTAACCCACTGAGCCACCCAGGTGCCCCTAAAATCTTTTAAAAAAATTAAAAAATAAAATGGAATGTTATGATGATTGCACAAACTTGTGAATATACACCCCTAGCCATAAGATTGTACACTTTGGGTAAATTGCTTGGTATGTGAATGATATCTCAATAAAGCTGTTAAGAAATTTAAAAAAGAATGGGCAAACATATTCAGATATCCTTGGAAATGTAGCTGTATGCCCTAAGATTGTTCAGCTGTGTATTTTAGGATCTAAAAGCTTACAGATAATAAAGTTTACAGACTTATCAATAAACATATAAAATATGGAAAAAAAGCACACAAAGGATTTATTTCTCCAAAGAAAATATAAAATGGCCAAAAAGCACATGAAAAGGTGACCAACATCGTTAGTCCTTGGGGAAATGCAACTTAAGCCATCAAAAGAAATGAAATCTTGCCATTTGCGACGACGTGGATGGAACTAGAGGGTATCATGCTTAGCGAAATAAGTCAATCAGAGAAAGACAACTATCATATGATCTCCCTGATATGAGGAAGTGGAGATGCAACATGGGGGATTAAGGGGGTAGGAGAAGAATAAATGAAACAAGATGGGATTGGGAGGGAGACAAACCATAAGTGACTCTTAATCTCACAAAACAAACAGGGTTGCTAGGGGGAGGGGGTTTGGGAGAAGGGGGGTGGGTTTATGGACATTGGGGAGGGTATGTGCTATGGTGAGTGCTGTGAAGTGTGTAAACCTGGCGATTCACAGACCTGTACCCCTGGGGATAAAAATATATGTTTATAAAAAAAAAAAAAAGCTTCAGTGAGATATTATGACACTTGTGAGGGGGATAGCTGTCATTCAAAAGACAATCACAAGTGTTGGTAAGGAGAAATTGTAACCCTTTTGTACATTGCAGGTGGGAATGTAAAATAGGGCAGCCATTTTTTAAAATTTCATATATATATTTTTTAATTTGAATACGGTTGGCACACAATGTGACGTTAGTTTCAGATATACAACATAGTGATTCAACTTTTCTATATGTTATGCTACGCTCACAAGTGTAGCTACCATCTGTCACCACACAACACCATTACAGTATCATTAATTATATTCCCTATGCTGTGCTTTTTATTTATTTATTTTTCTTTTTGCTGTACCTTTTATTCCCATGACTTACTCATTCCACAGCTGGAAGCCTGCATCTCCCACTCCTGTTTATCCATTTCGCCCATCCTTCCCTGTGGCAACTCTCAGTTCGTTGTGGTATTTATAGATCTGATTCTGTCTTTTGTTTGTTTAATCATTTGTTTTGTTCTTTAGATTCCACATCTGAGTGAAATCATATGGTATTTGTCTTTCTCATTCTGACTTATTTCACCTAGCATTATACCCTCTAGATCCATCCGTGTTGTCACAAATGGCGAGATCTCATCTTTTTTATGGCTGAGTAATATTCGTGTGTGTATGAGTGAAGTAAGCCAGTTGCAAAATACCACATATTATCTGAGTCCATTATTATGTTATGTGTGAAACAGGCAATTTTCAGAGATTAAAAGTAGACTAATGGTTGCCTGGCGCTAAGGAGTAGGGAAAAGGATGTGGGGAGTAAATGCTAATGGTATGGAGTTCCTTTGTAGGGTGGTACAAATGTTATAAAATTAGATTATGGTGATAGTTGCACAACTCTGTGAATATACTAAAAACCGCTATGCTATGCACTGTAAATGGCGAATCTTATAATACGTGAATTAGATCTCAAGAAACTGTTTTTTTCTTAGTCTTTTGAGACCCATAACTTCATTTAAAGAGTTGATAAAAAATCCAAAGTTTGCTTTAAAAAAGAAAGTCAAAGAAACCTGTATTTTTCTTTTGCCTCTGTAACAAGTGTATAAAAGCCTCCTACGAATGTGGAAGGTTCTCTGGGAGCTGCAGGCGCCAGCAATGTGTATGTCCCTGAACTCTGAGCATAGTCTGTTACCACTTGGGTATCACTTTAGCCACATCTGCTGAAGCATCATGGCTTGCACTATAGCAATCAGCAGCCAACCTGTTTGGGTCATTTCTTCCTTGTGTGTATTCTTCTTAATTGGGAAAATGCTGATTCTTCAGTCCTGTCCTTCTGATTCTAGATTCATGGCATACTCTTTCTACTTCAAAGGACTTTAAAAGATAAGTTCACTAAACATTTATCTAGCACTTACTGTATACCATACATCACAATAGTACCAAACCAAGGGACAAAGGTGATGATTCTCTTAACTTTTTGGTCTCCATGCTATAGATCTTTGGGATCTGGAGTTGCCTTGTGGATCCTTTTTCATACAATGGTCATTCTTTACTATCTCCTTCACCTTCTGTTCATGCTGCCTGAAAAATATGGCTATAAGCTTACAGCAACTTTTAAAAAATGCATATAAAGTGGTGTACCTAGACACCTCTGTTGGTTAAGCATCCAAGTCTTGATCTCAGTTCAGGTCTTATCTTAGAGTCATGAGTCCAAGCCCTGTGCTGGACTCCACACTGGGGTTAGAGCCTACTTAAAAAAAAAAAAAAAAAAAAAAAAAAAGTGTATAAATCATGTTAAAAATCATTATTTAAAAGGATCATTGATATTCTTAAGAAAACAAATGTTTAAATGTTTAAAAGATAAGCTGTACATGATAAAGCTAATTATTCTTTCATCATGCACATAACTGCTAATAGGAAGGCCAGAATATAGTACTACAAAAATGATATTGTTGAGACATACACTGAACTTGTTACCACATCTGGCCCTTACTTGCCTCAGCTGTAAATAATATGCCATTAGAATGAAAGCAGTGATTAAAACAAACCAAACTGCATAGTCACAGGATTTTAGATTAAGGCCCTATAAAGGCAAGTAAGATAAAAACGATTCTTGTCCCCAAGACTTTTGGAAGATAAATCATTGCATACATGCAAATTACTTTTATTATTGTAAAACAGGATGGCAACTGTGTACTGTAGCTTTTCAATAAAATGATATTCTTGCCTTTTAGCTCTTACATTTTTAAGATTATAGAAGTTTAGAGGCAGATAGATGTTTATTGTGTACACACGAGTAAATGTTAAAAATCAGTATGGTTTGAATCTAGCTACAAAATAGACTAAAAAGTTGTATAGAACCATTTAGATAATCTAGAAAAGGAAGAATCTAAAACTATAAAAGAGACTTGTAACTTTGAGGGATTTATTGATTTCATTTTAGGCAGTAAATTCTTAGATAAGTGTTGGTAATTTGGTTTGCATGTAAACAAAACACAAGTGAAGCTACTTAAGTTTTGGTGATGTGATGTGATGTTATGTTCTATCCTATACAATTCTTCCATATCATGTATTATTTCCTTTTCCTTCAGACAGATGAACAAGCCATGCTAGAAGATACACTGGTTGCACTATTTGATTTGGAAAAAGTTTCTTTTTACTTTAAACCATCAGAAGAGGAACCACTGGTTGCAAGTAAGTAGTTAAATGGTTCACAGGTGTTTCATGGAATATTTTTGGCATTAAAGAACAACATATGGCATAACTTTGATATTAATATATTTGATATATTATTAAAATTATTTTAAACAGAATATTATATTTTGGGTAAAATAATAATCGCCAACTAGGGGAGTGATAGAAAATATATATAATTTAAATCTATAGGTAATAGTAAACTCTGTCTTTATCTATTAGTTTGGCCTCCAAAAGTTTTCTTGAGTGTGTGCATCAAAATTTTGTGCTAGTCAAGATTTTTTTCCTAAAATAAAATATATAAATGACAAAGTTTACCATTTAACCAATTTTCAGTGTACAATTTAGTGGCGTTAAGTACCTTCACAATGTTGTACAACCTTTTCCACCACCAATCTCCAAAACTTTTTCATCCTTGAACAGAAACCCCATACTCATTACAGAATAACTTCCCATTCTTCCTCTACCAGTCCATGGTAACCTCTGTTCTGCCTTCTGTCTCTATGCAGGTGCCTAGAGTACTTCACATAAGAGGGATCATAGAATATTTGTCCTTTGTGCTGCTTTTTTCATGTCAATTTTTTAAAACAAAAGGACTGCCCTAATATTTCTGGCTCTATTAGTGGATAAACTCAATGGCTTCCAAGACTTTTATACAAATATATAACAATTATATAGCAAAGCTGACTGAATTGAGTTTCCTTCCTTATTCCAGCTGATCCTATAGAGAATGTATTAGCAGGCAATGAATACAAGTAGTTAGGGCCAAGGAGAAAGAGAAGAAATAAAAGTTATGTTCACATTGTATAAATTTAGATCTAAACCAGCCAAGAAAGACATTATTATTTGATTTGGTCATAATGGATAAAATTAATAATTCAGAAGGTGTAAACATATATTCTACATTTTTCCTAGTTTAGCAATGAAAATTATCAATCATTACATCTGAGTGTCAAATTTTAACATGTATAAATACAATTATATTAACTGTCTTGATTTGTTTATTCATCGTGTATGGTTTCCAGGATGGCAAAACCATTCCCGTCTTGTTTGCTATCATATCTCCAGCACCCAAAGAGAGTGCCTGGAATGAAAAAGGCAATTTTTTTTCAAGGAAGTTAATGAACAAATATTAATTAAGTACATACAATCAGTAGGCAAAATGGTTTTACAGTTATAAAAATGGAAGGAAAAACAGGTGTAAGGAACAAAGGAGAGAATTTCAACAGAACAGAGTTGTAACTAATGTTGCAAAGAAGTTACTTGATGAGTGGAATTGAAGGATTGAAAAGTATCCCTTCAATTTTGCTGTTTGCCATCATTAAGTCTCACAAATGGAATATTTTAGAAGCATACATTCAGAGAAATAACAATACATAGGCTTTAATCTCTATATCTTCGCTGCAAGTTATCATCATGTATCTACCATTTCAACATTATCATGAATAGGTTTAAAATGTATCTATCAATGCAAAAAATCTTTAGCAGTTTGTTGTTTTTCTGTTTCTTGTTTCTTCGTAGGGGTGAGGGTCTGTATTACATAAGGTAGAAGATGTGAGTTTCTTCAGGGCTGGGAAAGGTTCTTCTTTATTCTCATATTTCTAATATGAAGAATGGTAAATAGGGACCCAATAAACATTTGTTTAAATCATTAATCATTTAATCTGATTTAAGATCAATAAGCATTGATTCATTCATCAAAAATTTCTTAAGTGCCTACTTATGGCCAACCGCTAATCTAGGTGTTAGATAAGTAGAGCACTAAGCAAACATATCCCTTTTGGAGCTGGTATTCAAGTGGGGGGAGATAAATAATAAGCAACATAAGTAAGTTAATCTGATCATAAGCTAGAAGACAATAATATGAATGTATAAGAGGAAATAGAAGAGAACAAAGGATAACAATGCAGGGGCAAGTGGGAGTTTGCAAATATTTAACAAGCTAGGAAAGCCTTACCAAAAAGAATACCCAACTTTTATATCAACATGGACGGGACTGGAAGAGATTATGCTGAGTGAAATAAGTCAAGCAGGGAGAGTCAATTATCATATGGTTTCACTTATTTGTGGAGCATAACAAATAACATGGAGGACATGGGGAGATGGAGAGGAGAAGTGAGTTGGGGGAAATCAGAGGGGGAGATGAACCATAAGAGACTATGGACTCTGAAAAACAATCTGAGGGTTTTGAAGGGGTGGGGGGGGGAGGATGGGGGAGCCTGGTGGTGGGTGTTATGGAGGGCATGTATTGCATGGAGCACTGGGTGTGGTGCATAAACAATGAATTCTGTTACACTGAAAAGAAATTGAATAAAAAAAAAAAAGAAGAACAAAGACCTGAAGGCGTGGAGGAGTGTTTGGAAGAGGGGTGTTCCAAACTGTGAGGTGGAAACAGGTGTGGTATGCTCTCAGGATAGCACGGTGTCCTGTGTGACTGGGGAGTCATGGGTGAGGAGAAAGAGTAAGGGATGAAAACAGAGAGGAGGCCAGATCATTGAAAGAACTTCACCTTTATAACTAAGCCACAGAGCAGAGGAATGACCTGATATGGTATACATACTGAAGACTGCCTCTGACTGCTGTGTTGACTAGAGCATTATTGGGGTCAAGGACAGAAGCAGAGCAACCAGTTAGGAAGCTACTTCAGTGACTGGGGTTGAAAGATGACAGTGACTTGACCTTGGGGGTAGCTGTGGGGATGGTAAAAATTCATTCTGTATGTATTAAATTTTGAAGGTAGAGAGAACAGAATTTTCTTAGAGTTTCATCTTCACGGACAAATTAGAGAGAATGAGAACATGAATTACAATGTTAAGGATTCAGGTTATATTCAAGGGAGAACTTGGTAAAGGGGACTAATTGATAAGGATAATATTATTTAAACAGGTTGTATGGGTCTTCTGTGGACATGTATAAAACAGAACATATTTTTATTTACTTTAATAATGTAGGCATAATTTTCCCAAAGGCAGAGAAACTCTATTTTCACAATATAACTTGTCTTTTCTTTTAAATGTTGTTTGAGGAGTCATGAGCTCACAGGAATACGTTTTCCATTGTCCAAATATGACATTACTGATGAATGGTCTGTTGAACAAGCAGGCAAGGGATCCATGTTATAAGCTCAAGAAAATAATTTACGTATTGCATAGCTACCATGAGATCTTTAACTTCAGTACATTGAAAAATACAATAAACATTACAGATAAAATAATTAAAACCATGTAATTAATATCAGTATGTAAATGCACATGTATCTGTGACTAACATAAAAATTCTTATATATTTTTAAGTATTTCCACAAAGGATAACCTGAAAACAGGATAATCTGAAAACAGATTCCCTAGTGAAAGGTCACTTCCAGTGCTACACTATTAGATATTCCAAGCAAGTTACTAATAGTGATGACAGCAGTATAGTTATCCTTTTAAGTTGATTCAGGAAAGAAGAGAATTTTTCAATACCCAAGTGTCATCACATTCTATTTAAGTGGTGAAAGGAAACTAGAGCTTTATTATTAATTGCATGTGATTTGATCTTTCTGTAAGCTTAGAAGCAAAGAAGTCAGATCCGACAAATTAATTCATATCACTGTAGTGAAGATTCCTTTGGCTGTGTGTCTTAGAGGGAAGGACCGCAGGGGGAGGCATGAAAATATAAAGAGAACACTGATTTTGAAGATAAGAAACTTGAGTTCCAACCCTGTGCTCTTCTCATCCACAAACATGAGAGTACAAGCTTTCCCAGACCCATGGGGCTTAAATAAGATAATGTATTCAAAAGTCTCCGGCATTGTGTGAGGTTTGTGGTAGTATTCAGTAAATACTTGAATCAATCCTCCTTACTTTATTACTCTGTGTTGTTTTTCAAAAGCTGTATTTAGCATTTCTCATAGTCATATTTTTGCATTAAAAAATAATGAGATTCTGAAGAAATGTGGCATGCCAAGCAGGTAGAACTCAGTAGTCTGGATTTAAGACATTTTATTTTCTGTGAAGAAATAATTACTAAGTACATACACCACACCAAACTAAGTTCTGAAGTTATAGCAGTGACTAAGTAAACACACTGCTTTTGCAACTTAGAAAGTAGTGGAGACACAAAGTGGGCAATGTAACCCATTACCGTCTAGGGAAAGTAAGTGATCTTTCCTATGCCATATTATGTGCTTAGTGAAGGCGGAGTAAGTGAGCTAAATGATTAGGTTGTATAAAACTAAATATATTTTATGGACAGTCTTCACGTTTTTGGAGAATAATATGATAGCAGATCTCCCCCCCCTTATGGTGATACAGGCAATTTTACTGTAATAACTAAGGGAATTAATATTTTTTGAGCTTCCACTCTTTTCTTATGGGCTAGGCATTGTGCCTGAAACTGCGGATGTCATGGTGAATAGGACAGGTACATCCCTATCTTCAGGAAGCTCACAACCTATTTGGGAGAAAACAAATGAGGAATCAACGACAAAGGTGATTAGGATCATGCTAACTAAATCCTATGCAGGAAATAAGCAATGCATAATGAATAAGGGTAAGGTGGTCCACAAGGAAGGGCTCTCAGCAGGAGTAGCTTTTATGCTGAAATCCAAAGGGCCAGCAAGACCCAACCCTGCGGAGAGTCAAGGAAGAACAATTTAGGTAAAGGGAACTGACTACTTCTTAGAGACTTACCTTCAAACTCATGGGCCCACTCAGTGATGGAGGGCCATGCTTACAGGGATGGGATGTTGAAACTCCTCTCCAGAATGAATCTCTCTGTAAGGTGGAACCAGAGAACTTTTCCTCATGCGATAATGTTTTTGAAGCCTTTAATCATTACACAGTCCTAATAATCGAGTTTGTTTTTCATAGCATATGAATTTCCACAAATAAAAGGCAACAATTTTCAGCTCCAGGTTATTGTGCGTTTTTATAAGTATGCCAATTACTTTGAGAGAAAGTCTTCATTCTTTCACTCTTAGATTTAACTTCATTTTAAATTTAATATGCTTGATAATATTGGGTCATTTTCAGTTCCTTAGGTCCTAGTAGAGCATCTTTGTATGTTCTTTGTTAGTCCTACAATGCGGAACTCCAACTGCTGCATTATTATTTTCCTTTCAAAAACATTATCCATTTGATAACAGAGATTGGCCACTTTGGTGTCAAAAAGTAAAGGAATGGAATTTTAAAAATTGAAATAAAAATGAAAGATATTGCATGAAAAAGGGAACTAGAAGATACAAATACGTAGTTATGTACGAGGATTTTCTTCAGTGTCCATATCCTTTATCTTTATTATAGAGCCAGGGGAAAATGGGATTTTCCCAATCATTAAAATCCAGTTAATTTCCAACTCTTCAACTGAGAAATGTGTTCTCTTTCCTAAACCCAAATCCTTCATACCTCCCTGACTTGTAGATGTTAATACAATACCTCTGCTATTGATAGAACTAATTAGCTACATTTAATAAGAAACCTGGAATCTCTGCTCATTAATGGTATTTAAACTTGAACTCTGCTTTTACAAATAATTTAAGAAGCAGGTTAGAACTAATAAATATTGAGTCAAGAACATGTATTAAATGTCTACTATATTTTTGCCTTAATTTTTAACTGGTTAATATAACTAGTCTAGCTTTTTAGGAAGATTTTGCTAAATCTTTTTTTAGTGAACTGGAAATTTTTCTAAATCTTTTTTTCGTGAACTGGAAATTATTTGTCATGGATAAATGACATAAAATGAAAAGGATTTGTGATAGCACTGTGAAATACTCCTACAGCATTGTAGCTTCTCGGGTTGGTTGCTTCTTGGGTTTTTTTTTTTTTTTAATTTTTTGTTTTTGGGTGATTAAATTTAGGATCTTTGTGAAAACAAGGAATTTCAACAGATAATTTCTAATGACTGCAGGACATCAACAGAGGTAATACACTTTTGATCTGGTGCTCAGAGAATGGAACTTGGAAAACCCATGCTAATTTTGGTAATGGTTGCTGTGTACCCAATTTCTTGTACACTACTTAGGAATCGTACCCTAAGGACTCATTTTGACAAAAATATGAATGAGGCAGATGCCCTGGGAGATTCTGATTCCAAACCATGTGTAACTAAACTTCTCATTTAGTTAAGTGAGACATCTGGAATGTCAAAGTATAACAAAGTTTCCTATTGTAGAATTTTATATACAGTACAGTAATAAATCTGTTGCTTTAGCTAATAGGAATCTGATTTAACACTTTTCCACTGAACAGAAAGTTTGCCTAACCTGAACGTGACAAACATGGGTACTTTTAATGTATTAGTTTCTAGTGATTTTCAAGATTTTTTAAAAAGTTAGCAAATGTACTTTATAACATATCCTGATTTTTGGAAGTAATATAACATTAAATGTCATTTTAGATATTCCTCTTACGTATCAAGTAGAGGGAAGCCGGCAGGCTCTGAAGGTTTACTTCTACATTGATAGTTACCATTTTGAACAACTGCCTCAACGTTTGAAAAATGGAGGAGGGTTTAAAATTCATCCCGTTCTTTTTGCACAAGGTAACCTGTTTTCTTTTTTTACACGTGTACTTAAATTATTTTATCTCTTGACTTTTTAAAAATACATGTAATTGTTATCATCGTGGGGATTTTTTTTCCATTAATTCAAAAATTCCTTCATAGTATCTAGGTAATATATTTACTTCTAGGAATGTTTATTAAGAAAACAATAAGATAAGGTTTAAATTTATTAAGTAGGACTGTAACTGTATTTATAATGGGGAAACATGAACTGAGTGGTTGAAATAGTAAAGATAAATTAATTTGGCTTAAATAAATTATGGGACAGTCATTAAAATTATGTGGTTAAAGATATTTTACTAGATAGAAAAAATTTGACAATATACACATGCAGGTTACAAAAAAGAATTTCTGTTATAAATAATGCAATCCATTATCTTAAATATACTTAACATACACAAAATGTTTTCAGGATCACTGGGTGATTAAATTGATTTTTTTTTATTGTTTGAGTTTTCCTGTATTATGCCATTTTTGGTTAGTAAAAATAGATTCCTTTTGTAAATAAAAAAATTTTGTTTTGGCAAATGCACAATGAATTTTAATGCAATAGAAGAAATTGAGTTTAACATGGGTAGGAAGATTCTTGTGGTGAACTGGTATCCAAGGGAAGGTCCTGGATCTTTTTTATTTCTGGGGTCACAAAAGCAGACTCAAGCTGATCGAAAGTCTGGATTATTCTAGTGTAGTTTCTTCTGGTCCATGATTTCTTTCTTTATTTCTTTTTTTTTAACTCATGCTGTGGTCACAAGATTATATCAATTTCTCTGAGCAATTCCACGGAGCATTTCATATTTTCTTCTGTGGAGTTTTCAAGAACTGCATTGGTTTTGCTGTGGAATTTTTATATTCTAATAAAAAAATGAGAAGAGTAGAGGAATAAAATCAACCTCTGTAACTGAAGAACAGACAAGCTTATGAAATCAAAATCCACTGCCAAGTGAAAATGCTTATACCATATGCATATTATTATAATTCTAAAAGATAAATTTCCCTTCCTTCGATTGCCATGGTTTAAAAACAATGACTACCTCAGATATTTGTAAGAATACATTTTGGAAGAAGAAAATGTCAGGTGCAGAGATCTTAGGAGTTATTAGAAGTTATTTTCATTTTTCTTTGCAGGACTCTGGTAGGGTCCATATAGGTAAAACAAGATTCTGTAAAGGAATGAAAAAAAAAAAGGAAACAGCAAAAATAGACCTTTGGAGCTATGTTAGGAGAACAGTTTAGCCTAAAATATGTTAAAAGCCATTACACAGAGAGATAGTTTTAGAAGACCGAAAAGGTTGCTGGTCTGGAATATTAACTTTTATAGGGTTTAACCAGAGTTTACGGTTATTAAAGTTTCTTCACTTCCTTTCCTTTATTTCCCTTTTAAAAAATTCTGTCTTTGAAATCATGACTGAGATGACAGATGGCATTCTGCATCTTTTCAAAAAAAATTATTACATTTGTGACACATCAGCCATAAATAGCTAAATATTCATACCCAGCAGCAAATGTTCATAGGAAAAGGAAGAGTATTTTCCAAATAACCTCTATGTTATAATTGTGGCTAAAGCTAATTAAAAAAATCCCTAACTGTATATTATTTTAATGAATACAATATCAGTTTATCAAATGTAAAGAAAAACTGTAGATAACATTAGGTTTTAATAGTCACACAGCAATAAAATGTGAAAAAGCCACAACAGAAAGATTTCTGCAGTTGAGGTCACAAAGAGGGAAAGATGACTGGGAAACAGCTTGTCTCATTAGCACTGTGGCAGTGATAAGGCTGCTTCCATAGAGGGGTTGCGCAAGTTCCTCTGCACTCACCCAGACTCCCAGGAGGATTCATTATTACTCACTCTTACTACTCTTCAGATTGAGAGAAGCCCAGAAAAGTGAGCCTTAGCTGGAGTAGAGATTACCATCTGGTAACTGAACATGGTGGTAAATGAAGAGACTCCAAATGGTGTCTATTCTGGAGATGAACATTTACTCAAAGGGTTTCCATTTTAGGCGTACATATGTACATGCATCTTTGCTGGCAAATTAAAAAAAATAGAAAATGAGATGAATTTGAAAGTCCCCTGGGAAAATTATTTATGTCAGCCCTTATAAAGTTGTTGGACCACATACTTAGAACAGGAAGCAAATACACTGCTTTCTTCCCATTTTTCTTGCTAGAATGGACCCGTCCACATAGGAGGGTGTGGGAATTTGGGGGGTGTGGAGGGTTGCCCGCAGAGATGGCGCCAGCAGTGAGATCAGGAATCCCAGTGCCGGCGGCCAGTAGGTTATGCTTTAGGAAACATGTGTCTCTGAAGGCCAAACCTACAGGAGAGCAGGAATCTAGGCAAACGGAACAGGTACAGATTGATGAGGTAAAAATCACAGAAGCAGGCAGACAGGAAAGTCAGCACAGATCATGACCAAAATGCTAGAACGTGAAAATCAGATGAAAGCAGTCTCTGCCAGTGCTTGCTACAGGTCGGGGAATTAACCTCATTGGGATCCCAAGCCCTTGGTGAGATAAAGCAGGTCAGTATAAACTGTGAAAATGGGAGTAAGGAGGATAGATACTCTGGGCCTCCTCCTCCACCCACTCCCCATGGACTCATTTTCAGGCTGTCTCAGTGGTTCTCAATACTGGCTGCACATTAATCTTCCTGGGGGAGGTCTTCGAAAATACCCATACTTGGTCCCAAACCAAACTGATTAGGTCAGAATCTCTAGGACATAAGACAAAGAAACCAGTATATTTTAGAAGTTTTGCAGGTGACGCTAACATCCACCAGGAGTGAGAAAGCACAGGTCAGTGTGGATTAGGAAACACTGTGCAATTATCCAGTTAATCTTTGCTTAATTAGATTAATCCATTGCACAAAAACTTGACACTTGTAGATTTAGAGCAACCAGGGCAAGGGGGCTGGGTGTTTTCACTTTGACCTCATTAGGTCATTAGGATGCTGGCTGCCCCTAGGAGATGTGATTTGGGTGGGAAAGTTTTCTTCAGCAAAGACTGAAGATGCCCGAAAGCACTGACAGCTGAGAGATATCTTCTGGGAATCCTAACAGCTGGACAATAAGCCCTCCTTTCTGGAAGGAGATCCAAACTGGCGACATGCCATGGTCCACACCTTGTAACTTTAGATCCATTCAAGTCAAGACTAAAAGCATCTCCTTCATGACTCCGATGGCTCCCTTCCTGGGGAGATCATCTAGAAGAAGCACGGTAAGGGGGCAAGTCGTAGCCCGTGCTGCCACACATCTTCTCTCTTCTCTATTTGTTGTAAATCAGCCTTGCTCTCAGCCTGAACCTTCCAGTCTCAGTGGCATGACTAAAACCTGCGTCCCCAAGGAGCCTGATCCCCCTGTTTATTCTGCCCTTCTCAAGACAGGGTTGCTGCTTTGTCCATTTACCATCAAATCTGGAAGAGGAAGTACCAAGAGGAACCTGAGTGGATTCACTGCATGTCAAACCTGTTCATTCCTGCCCTCATTATGTAACAATAGTCCTACTTCCTTATGAAGACCGGGGTCCACTAGCCTTGCCAAGACGGTGATTACCCTCCCTAAGTGCCTTGGCACAGGGGCCTCCAGTGCCCCCATGGCAACGATAACTTACGTTCAGAGGGACCCCTGCCTCGTCTCCTAGGGAAAGTGTACCTCTTTGGTGATCAGTACCTTTTAAACCCATAGAGCCAGAATTTCAGGGATGGAAAGCATACATCCCCAAGTGAGGCATTGGCACTGATATTTTTTAGGTTCTTAGAGCTGCCATAACGAACTACCACAAACTGGGTGGCTTAAAACAACAGAAATGTATCCTATCATCGTTCTGGAGGCTAAAAATCTGAAATCAAGATGCCCAAAGGCCGTGTGCTCCCTTGGAAGGCTCTAAGGAGGAATCCTTCCTTACCTTCTAGCTGCTGGTGCTTTCCTGCAGTCCTTGGCATTCCTTGGCTTGTGACAACGTAATTATAGTCTCTGCTTTATCTTCACATGACCTTCCTCTCTCTGTGTGTCTGTCTCTGTATCTCTGTCCAGATTTCGCTCTTCTTAGGAGAACAGAAGTCCTTGGATTTGGGCCCACCCTACTCCAGTTTGACCTCATTTTAAGTTGATGTCTCTGCAAAGACCCTTTATAAAACCCAAGTCACATTTGCACCCACCCGAGGTTAGGTCATTTGTTAGATCATTTTGGAGGACACAAGTGGGTCCTCAACAGAGGTTAAGCGGGGACCTTTCTGGCTTCCACCCTTGGTTCCTGGACCCACGTATTCTACCCATTAGGGATGTGGCATTATTAAAGGTCTTTGATTTTAGTTGTACTGTTTCCTCAAATATGGCATCCCTTCTTTGTCAAGTATTGTTAAGCACCTATTCCCTGGGTCTCTTATGGTGGTTTTCCCTACACTAACTAGGACATGCAATGCTGGTCCTTTGTCCATAAACACACTTTTGTGTATATTTGTTTTTCAGCACTTATGAAAAAAGCTGGCACCACAAATGATAAATCCTAACTCTTGTCTTTTTATAAGCTGTCTTTCTATTTTCAGAGTATAATTAAAATTGACCAGAAACTTGAGCATTTTCTCTTCTATTATTTTTTTTTAATTTTTTAAAAATCCCAGTATAGGGCATTTTCTCTTTTAAACAGAAGGGAACATTTTGTGATAAACATTGCCATTTTCTAAGGTTCCTTCATTTGAGAATTTATTTTTCATTTTGAGTTTTTGCAAAACTCTAGGTTCTTTAAAAGATGAAGCCCTTGGTTTTCCCATGGGGTTTTATACAGTATTTGAAATTGAAGCATTAAATAGCTTTTTAAAAAAGAAGGAACAGTTCCCAGAATTGAGATTTCCTAAATGTTAGCGTCAGCCTATGAACACATGAACCCACCCCTCTTCAAAAGGCAGAACAACCTTTCCCATATACTGGTCACGTTGGGATTGATAAAGCTTGTTTTCGTCACAGAAATTATGACCACTTCTGAATTCTGACCAGTCGTGACCAGTGCAGACGTTTTGTTTTATTTAACCATTTAAGTGTCGCCATGCTATCAGTAAAGAGTGTTAGTTGATTGAAACTCCTCTTAAAATTATTCTGTAGATAATTCTATATTTTTTCTGATCAATCCCTTTCTTGGAAAAACCTTGAAATGGTATTTTGATTAAGAGGAAATGCAACTCATTTTCAGTCTTAGAATAATTTAACCTTTACTTTCCTCTAATAGTCATTGTTTTGTTTTGTTTTTTTTCACTGACTACCTACATTTGTTGAGGTGATTTATTCCCTCAAATTCAAAAGTGGTAGAAGGAAAACAAGCAAAGAAATTCATTGTATTTTCAATATTGCTTTTAATTAAATGCTATTAAATATTTATATGCAACCAATAATGTCAATACTACTTTTATCTGAATAAAGATATTATCTGGATGATAATATCTATCATTTGGATGATATTATATGGATGAGAAATAAGGAAACTAGACAAGAAAATGCTGAGAGCCAAACTTGGAAATTTGGACGTTATTATATATTTTAACACTATTATCTGGATGAGAGAATATTATCTGGATGAGAATAAGGAAACTAGACAAGAAAATGCTGAGAGCCAAACTTGGAAATTTGGATGTTATTATATATTTTAACACTATTATCTATTATCTGGATGAGATAATATTATCCAGATGAGAAATAAGGAAACTAGACAAGAAAATGCTGAGAACCAAACTTGGAAATTTGGACATTATATATTTTAACCTACTTTCACTCAGTGTAGAAATTGAATTTGGTGAAATATTTTCCCACTTTCTAAGATCAGGAATGTTGTTCTCTTTCCTCTTCTTTGCCACACAGTTTACTTTTAAATGTAGAACTCATCTTTCATGTTTTTGTTCATTTCCTCACAACCCAACACATGCACCATACATTTTGCTGATTGTTAGACATTTTCCCCATTTAAAAAAATTTCTATGTAATTTGTATTTTAATTGTTGTTAATTTGGAAATATTGTCAAGGAATGTCATAAAAATGTCAGTTTGTTTTTGTATGGCAACAAGCTTTTAGAGCAGGACTGGATATTCTGGCCAAAACTAGGTCAACAAGATTTTTATAAAAATTAGACCCCAGGTGTTTTCCTGTCTGTCCCCACCCCAATCCCCACCCCACCCTCACCCCGGATTTCCCTATAGCTCCTTCCTGGTATTTATTTGGTCTTTATGATTTTAAATTACAAACTGAAGTATCTTTGTATCGACTCTCCTTTTTAGTTCCCAGAACTTCCTGTTTGGCTAAGCAGACTTAGGCATATTCTTTATCTCCTGGAAATTGAATTAGATAATGCCTGTAGGGCATTGGGCTGTAAAAAACACACTCAATAAATGGAAAGAATAGTAATGGGTCTCTTAATGCTGTTATTTGATTTAATTATTTCCCAAGAATCATAATTAGTAGGTACTCTTATTTTCCATTTCACAAATGAGGAACCTGAAGACCCTGGATTTTAATTAACATGCCTAAGGAGTGGAAGTGGTGGTTTTACTCCAATGCAAGGACTTTCATTATTAGCTTTACAACTAGTAAGAGGAATTCACATTGAAGGATGACTATTGATACACTGTATCCTCTGAATATTTGCCTCTCACAAATAACAGCTCATTAATGGAAGTGAATGTAGCATTTATTTGAGGATTGTTTTATCAGGAAGAATTCCTTTTGTTTCTTGTATGTATTCAGGACCAGAAGCTTGCTAAACCAGTTGCAAATATGCTAATTAATGCAGAAGTCATAAGGAATAAACAAACAATCCTTGAAACAAACCCACAAATTTGATATCATGTACTGAAGTAAATGTAGTAAAGCATCTCTCTAATTTTCCATAATGGTTTTCTCAATTATAAGCCAATGCCATTTTTTTATTTCAAATTGAGTAATACTCTAAAAGGTTGTTTGTTTCTTCAGTGCTACAGAAATCTGACTAGTTAAGAAAGCAGCACAACAAATATTAGTAATGAGCTTGTGATAAGCACTGGGTGCTTTTATGTAAGTGATGAATCACCAAATTCTACTCCTGAAACCACTATATGTTAACTAACTGGAATTTAAATAAAAACTGGAAATAATAAAAAAATTAACAATGACTTTTCTATTTTTGCGCCTAAAATGAAGTTTCTGTCAATTCGAAGAAACTTATTAGTTTAGAAGCTATTGCGTTTAGTAGTTTTGAAACAAGATTAATTTTTTTTATCAATTTTGAAATAGTCTGCTGAAAATTGATACTTATTAGTGGCAGTAATTTCAAGGGGAAATAATTTACATTTCCAAAGGCTTCATTGCCATTCCTGTTGCAGGCAACCTCTCCATAAGAGATCTTGTATTTCTAGGCACTTTCATGTAATTCATTTCCTCTCCAAAAGGTTAAAAGTACCATCACATAAAGTTTGAAGGAAAAAGAAATACTTAACCAAAGATGTTAGTTAAGAAGGAAATCCATTTCAATCAAAAGATGTTTAAAATTAATGGAAAGTTATATATATATGTTTATACTTGTTTATTTTCAACTAAATTAAGAATTATAATAAGGGTAATATTCTAAGATTATACTTTAAATTTATTACACTCATATTTCATAATTTAACTGTGGCTACAAGGGAATGTATGTATACATGGAAAGCAGCAATTTCAACTTTTTTATTCTTTTTTATTCTTATGTATGTTGATACACAGTTCTTCCTCCCATACATATGTATATATCTAATATATGTATGTATATGTGTATATATACACATTAAAAATTGAAGACAGTTTATTTTTTATTTTTTTAAAAGATGTTATTTATTTATTTGACAGACAGAGATCACAAATAGGCAGAAAGGCAGGCAAAGAGAGAGAGAGGGAAGCAGGCTCCCCGCCGAGCAGAGAGCCTGATGCAGGGCTCAATCCCAGGACCCTGGGATCATAACCTGAGCTGAAGGCAGAGGCTTTAACCCACTGAGCCACCCAGGTGCCCCCAAAATAGAAGGCAGTTTAAATTAGAAATTACCTTTGCCTACTTAGATAAAATCACAAAATGTTTGATATTTATTTTGAGAACAGAGGAATGATTTCCATTTATTTCTGGACTGGTGAAAGATTGTTTCTTGCATGTGTGGTCATATTCAGTGTTTTAAATACATTTATTAATAATCAATAAGATTACACTAAATGTGGAGAAATTGAGTTACGAGACCATGTGAAAGAGAACATTTAATTCTTTACACAGCACTGGAAAGCATGGAAGGATATTATTATAGAGACAATGTTTCAGTGGAAGAATTTCAAGCCCAGATAAATGCAGCCTCATTGGAAAAAGTCAAACAATACAACCAAAAGCTCAGGTATGTAATTGTTTAATGTTTTTAAAAAATAAGCTTTTATATTTTGTCAGGGACAAGATGAATTATGTTTTTGACATACTCATTATTAAATGATGGATGATGATATTTTTTGATACAAAGTCTTTTTATTTAGGGTTTAATATTTCAAATATTCTAATGAGTACACTTTTTAAAAATAAAATACAAAAAATGTTTGAAAATTTTTGTGCTATTGTCTTAATTGCTGAAGAAGATCAAAAATTAAATATTTATTACACCATCTTCAGGGGTACAGAAAGCATGGATATTTTTTAGGTATCCCCAAGAGGTTACGGTGGTTTAAGGATAAATAAAATAGGTTCCTTTATGTGCCATTAAACACCTGGCACCTTGACATAGAGAGAAGAATATGGTTAACACAGAAGATATGACACAGCATGTACTTGGTATTGGAAAAATATCTACTTTCAAATACATACATTAATGTTTGGATTTTGCTGTTTTTTCTCTCTAAAGATAGTGTATTGGCAGAATGATCATGGCAGGGAAAATTATAAACAGTAAGTGAAAGGGAAATGTCTTATAATTCAAAGTTTTAATTTTTGACAAATTATTAGCATATATATCTCCCTCCTACCTTATGAATTATTCTGTAAGGAGGTCATCTTTTTAAATTACTTACAGTTTATAGTTTCTATTTTTAAAAGAAAAATGTTCTCGTTCTACCTTAAGCCTTAATAATTCAAAATTAACTATTGTGACATTTGTCAGATTTGTCCACAATATGACTAAACTCTGAGTATAAATTAATTACTAAAATTCCTGTATATGGGGAAGTGCTGGATCTCATAGTTGTGACCAATAGGCTTTCTTTCACTATGGATGCTTTGTCTTTCTCCTCCTGCCTCACACAAACCTGTCCCTTTTCCTTCACGTTTTATTCTGTTCCACCATTTCATCACTTGTGAAGCTCTCAGGCTCAAAGCCCCCAATATCTATTTGATTTCCCATTTTCTCTTCCTCCTAAAATGTCGGTTCGAGATCCTGATGAATCTGACTAAAATGTCTCTTGGACTATGCCCATTTTATTACTAGTCCAGATCAGTATTTCCCAAAGATATATAATGTACTGACTTCTTTCACAGGGAAAACCAAAAAGTTAATCTTGAATTCTTAGTGTGTCCACTGACTAAGAAACACTGACTAAAAAAGCTTAAGCTCAGTCTTGTGAAAATCTTCAGTTGAAGACCATCATCACAAAAGACAACCTTGGCTTTTGTTAACTGATCAAATACATTCTTAGGCTATCTTTGAAATAAAGACACAAAATTAAAACATTTGTATAGAACACATGGGCCCTGAGAACACATTCCCAGAGCCCAGTTTGACCATTGGTCTAAATGGTCAAAAAGTCTAGACCACTGCTGTCACATCCTAACCATCTCCTGTCGGTACCACCCAGTGTTGTTTTAGACTACTCAGGATTTTGCTTCCAGATAATAATTTTAAGTCATATCTTACTATGTCACTCTCTGGCTCACAGGATATGGTGATTTCTTATTGCCCCAAAAGGGAGCAAGACCTTCTTAGCATGGCAGTCAGAATTTTTCAGGACTTGGGGCCACCTGGCTGGCTCAATCTGTTAAGCCTCGGATTTTTTATTTTAGTTCAGGTCATGATTTCAGGGTCCTGGGTTGGGAACCCCCCCCTCCTGTCCCTCCCTCATCACTCAGTGGGGAGTCTGCTTTCTCCCAGTCCCTCTACCCCACCTCTTTCCACTCACGCTCTCATGTGCACGCCCACACTCTCTCTGAAACAAATAAATAAATGACTCTTTAAAAAAAAAAAAAAAGATTTCTAATGACTTGATCTGAGATTTCTTTTCTCCACCTATGCTCCAGCCATGCTCTACTCTCATTTCTAGTCATGCACCATAGTTTCCTTCACCCATGACTTTTCACTGTCCACCTAGCATCCATGTCCTTTCTCTCCAGCAGTTTATAAAAGTACTATTCATATGATTCAGTGTCCAGCTCTCGTATAGTCTTCTTCATAAAATATTTTTCTTTTACTATTGGGCTGGGATGAGATACAAGAAGCAAAATCTCCCCATATCAAGAATTTTAGGAATTAATTTATCTTCGGAGTTTACCCATACGGTGGGCAAACCGAAAATGTCACAATAGTACTTTTGAATTAAGGCTTAGGGTAGAACAAGAACATTTTTTCTTTTAAAAATAAAAGCTAAAATCTGTAAGTAATTTAAAAAGAATCCATTAGGTTCTCTAGAAGTCCCCTAGAAGATTCTGATGTGTGGCACGTATTGCAAATCAATTCCCTAGATCCTGGAGCTCTTAAAGGATGATCCCCAGACTAGCAGGTCAATGCCATCTGCAAACTTCTTAAAAAAAAAAAAAAAAACAAAAAAAACTCTGGGGTGAGCCCAGCAATCTGTATTGTAACAAGCCTTCCAGGTGGTTCTCATGCATGCTCAAATTTCAGAGCCACTGCACTAGGCTAAGTGAATGTCCAATCACTCTGCCAGTCTCTCATTTTACTTCATTTATGGCTACTACAGAATTTAGCTTTTCTCCCTGAGGATACAGTTATGTGTACCGATTTCTCATCTTCTTTATTCTATGATAAGCTCCTTAAGATGAGGGATACTTCAAAAAAAAAAAAAAAAGATGAGGAATACTTTTATCTTGGTGTTTCCTGTGGTGTCTATCAAAGTATTTTGCATAAGATATTCTCCAAAATGTATAATCAATTGCATCAAATTATTTAGGTATAACAGAAATAGGGATGTAACCTAGCATTCACACCCCTGGATATTTTTTAAAGCAGAAATATAATAGATACTCATATATAACAGATACCTGATAAGATGTTTAAGATTCTTTATTAAGAAAAAACGGCATTATACTAATGCATGCTATCTTCTTCACATAAGAAAACATTTTAATGTATCTTTTCCGGAGAAATATTTTGAAAAGCAATAAACTCCTCAGTAAAAATTAGTATCCTTGTCAGTAATTAGCTGTTCTATATCCTACTTGTTGCATATTTAATTTCCTTTACACAGGAAGACAATTATTTTCCTCTTTACTTCCAGTAATGCCTTTCTTCCTGCTTACTTCTTGAATAAGGGTGTTAATTTCTTCCTTAATTTATCCTGTTACTGTGTAACCACAAATATTCTGAAACTGCTTTTAGGTCGTCTGTTCTTGGTCTGAGGGGCTACAGGCCAACAGTGACCATTTCTTTAAAGGGCCTTTTACTATCCATTGTAGAAAAATAGCTCTCAGGTGTCTCTAGCTCCTCATAGCCCAGAGTTGGTTTTTGGTTTTTTTGTTTTTTTAACACTTTCACAGAAAACCACTTCATTCTGGATGTCAATTTATTTGCTAATTAGACCTCAGAAAAGGCCTTCTTAGCCATTCAGCCTTAAAAGAGACTAAAAAATGTAAATAAATGAACTAGTGTTTTAATAGAAAACATTCTTTAGATTACAAATTTCAGAAACCAAACTCAAAGCATATATAACATGTATATCCAGGGGTGTGTCTGCATTAGGCAAAGTTGGATCCGAGGGTATGGACGTCAAGAATCTCTTTCTTTCCCTGTCACTTGGTACTGCTTTCCTCTCTGTGGGATTCATTTTCAGGCAAGGTTGTTTCACATTTGAGTAGAGATGGTCAGTGAAGACCAGTGTTGGATTCAAAGAAGAGAAAGTGTCTAACCCCATTACCCCTCCATGGAGAGTTCCAGCAAAAGACCTGAGGAGGCACTCATTAGCCTGATCCAAGTCATGAGCCCATTCTTGGGTAGGCTTAGCACCACAGATCAATGGGCTATCACAAAAAGTGCAAAGTAAGGATGCTGGACAAGAGGGAACAATGGATTCCATTCTAGTTATAGAGATTTCTCCAGAACAGCAAATAGTTGGAAATAATTTGCTACTTAAAAGATGATGACAGTTATAATATCTATCAGTTTTTAAGAACATATCAAGTCAGTCATAATGCTAGGCGAGTAATCTGGATTATTTAACAAACCAGTGAGTTTTATATTATCATCTCCACTTGAAGGGAAACTTACACAAATTTACCCAGGTAATAAGTAGTAAAACCAGGATTTAAATTACAGACTTTTTTCTCTTTAGAGTCTATACTTTTTGTACTATGTTAGGCCATCTTAGTTACTGGAGTGAACATAATATACTAAAAATATGTTATCTGTTACTAAAGTGTCAGATACTGCCAAGTGCTCCCAATTGCCCTGATTTTGGACCATCAGTTATTCATTGATTCAGTGTGCTCATGAATTTTCCATTTCTATGAAATTTAGAAAAACAGGGAAAGAACAAATAAATAAATCTATAAACAAATTATTGTAGATGGTGAAAAGTGCAATGAAGAAAAACTAAAACAAGTTATCATACCAGTAGACTGGTTATTTAGAGGAGGTGGTTAGCAATGACTTAATTATTAAGTGGTATTTGGAGAAAAGACTGAATCAAAAGGAGACAGCCTTGCCAAAATTGGGGGGAAGTTCTTTCCCAAAACAGTGAACTGATGTACATAAATCACGAGAATAAGCTTATCATTTTTAAGGAAGACGAAGAAGGCCAAGAGGATTCTAGACATTAAGGATAATGCATGTTGAGAGATATTTGTAGACACTTGGTTATATAGGGCTGTAGGCCATTATAGGTGGTATAGATTTTATTGTAAGTACAATGCAGAAGCTATTGGAAAGTTTTTGTTAAATTATTGTTGTCCATTTGTATCTTACACATTGTCCATTTGTATCTTCTACTGCAAATAACACCCAAAATGGCTAAAGTTTTCATTAAGTGATCTGAGACCAGCTGGCTGGTCTGACAACTCCTCTTTCAGTCTCTGTCGAAATACAGACCCTGCAGTACAGCTGGGGAGTCTTTGCCATATGCATCATAGCCCTGACACTGGTTGCCTGAAGACACTCTGGTTTAGCTGTTACCCCCAATGAACGAGTTT